ATGAAAATTTTTTGTTTCCAATTTTGTACGTATTAGCCGTGAAAAACCCCTTTAGGGTGAGCGTTCAATTAAGGAGAAATACACACAACTGTACACCCATACATACATACACCTCATACGCATACATACAGCTACGTAGATATAAGCTTCTGACTCTTATCCTATCCTTTGATAACATTAGATTGATCAATTAATCCGTGTTTGTCCATTCTTTAGGTAACAGTCACTGGCTCTGGAGGCACGTCTAAGCTTGAAATAACATTCAACATGGACTCAGAACGCGAGATAGCGCATTTAGCGACACAATATGCCGGTACCGAAATTAACATGATACAGGACTACAAAGGGGTAAATAACTTCGTTTCCTTTTGTTTGCTCAATTGTTTTTCGGAAATTGTGGAATCATCCTTGCCAGTTATTGAGAATCAAACCAAATATTCATTTTATTTTAGTTTTTGCTTTTGTTTGTTTGATTGTTGTTTATTTGCATTTATTTTTTGTTTACTCTTTCTATTGTTTTGTTTGTGTTGTATTTGCAGGTGTGCTTCGAATATATGTTTGATTGACATAACCAGCTCTTACCAGAAAAACTAGTTTTACCCAAAGGCACCCGACCATTAGCACATGAATGAGGTGCTATATTATGATATGGGCATTTTCTCCACAGGGAAAGACATACACGATTTACCCACAGGGATGTTATTCTTCACCGCTCGAGGGTAAATTGTTTCCCCCTGAGCAACTCAAGGGCTTACTGTTCGAAAGAGGTGGAAAACTTGGACTGAATGGCGTCAAGGTTAATGTGTATGGAGGAATGATAGATCAAGGCAAGTGATGTACTTCTTTTGCAAATATTTCGGCGCACGATCTAGAACCTACATTATTTCTTCATAACTGAAAAATGAATTTCCTCATAAGACTATTCTTTTCTGAAATGGACTCCTTTTCTTTTTGGTCGCAAAGAAATTTATTTTGAATTCAGTTAAATTGACCTGAAGAAAAAAAACAATAGAGACGATGGAAAAAGCGGGAAAAAGGAAAAAATGAAGGCAAAAAATGAAGTCTCGGAAAAATACAAGAGCGGCGAGCGGCTAACGTTAGCCGGATCGACATCCTCTATCGTTGTACGTCGAGAATATTAATGTGTGCAATCGTGCGTAGTAAAAGGAGTAGACACTTAACTAAACCTCAACGACAATGATGGAAATGACAAATCGTGAAAACGTGTTATGAATTTGTAAATAGATCGAATTTTTCATCGGTCGGTAAGGCACCAAAACAGAAAGATAAAAATTAGATAAAGTACTTCAAGTAATGGATGATGATTTTGATTTGTGGATGTTTCAACCTCCAGCCCACTGGATTTTTACTTTCGAGAATAGCGAAGTGTGCATACCAGTCAGCTTTGGTTCAACGGAATCGGGATCTGCCACCTCTGGAAGGTATTCAATAGACTGTAATTTTGTAAAGCACATTCCGATTGAGTTTTGCAACCAAAAGCCAGTATAATCACAACTAATCGGAGCGAAAAAAAAAATCAAAGTTAAGCCCCGGAGAGCTATGAGCAAAAACAAGCTAAGTCGTAGCTCATGAAAATTTTGGCGACCAAGTCTTCATCTAATCCAGTTTTCACTCAATTGGTTGAGAGGATGGCGCAAGTTCGCTAAACCAAATATTGAGCCAAATTATTTCACTTTGTCGTTTGGCTTTCGCTTCGCATGATATTTTTCTCACCAAATCATCTTTTATTTTTTCTTGTTTGAGCGGCGGATCGCCACAGAAAAAGCAGCTCAGTAGTTTGCGTGCTCATTTGAGGCGCAAGCGGGTAATATGCCAGAAGGGTCCATTTTTCTGATTTCCTTCTGCGACTTACAAAAATCTCTGCACAAGTTCCCTTTATGCCAATGAAGTTCGCTTGTGTACTTGCCAGTCTCTTATCAGTCTCTCTTGCTTGCCTGCAAACCTATGGCATTTATAGCATCAACAACAACAACGAACACAAAATTTAACTCAAATTACCAGAGACAAAAAAAAAAAAATGTGAACAACCTGCTCTGTAGGCTCGCGCATGCCATGTCGCACTTTTTGTTGTTGTTGTTATCATTGTTTTTGGTTGTTCTAACATAGTTGGATAGGTAGTGGTATTTAATTAACACAACTCAGAGAGGTTTTGTGAAATCCAATATGTTAGATGCTGCCGTAAATCGTGCGAATCGACTTCTGATAGTCAGAACTGAATAAAGTCACCTAAAAAAATACCAGATCAATGCAGTTTCAATCTCAAACTTTCTGTTTTAACAATGTGGCTTATTGACGAATTTTTGTTTGTATTAAGCTTTTTGGATTTGAGCGAAAGCGTCGATCCTGAAAAGCTTCAGATCCCAGAAGATTGTAATGCTTCGCCGCAGCGTAGATCCCTTCCAGACCTGCTACATCCAAACAATATTCATACCGCGAGCGTACAAGCCGCTATGAAAAGAGGATTCGCCTGGCTCGGCACTCAAAGGGACCAGAAAAGAGGATTCCCTTGGACTCATTTTCAGAGGAGGGGATTCCCTTGGACTAACTAACCGGCAGCTTGCTGACAAAGAGTCATTATCTTGACCCGTCAAAGGATAACAGAGAACGGACAGTCCAACCTTTGCTCAGTCGAATTACTTTTGAATAAATAGATGAATGTAGTTACCTCTTGAAAATGAAATTAAAGTTGATTTGTTAATCATTACTTGAGCAAGTGTAATTATAGCTAATTATTCGTTTGTTAACGGTATAATAATGATCTCTCTTTCACCAGCATGACGCTGAGAAAAAGCAATGTGAATTGCCTTCTGATGAGAAAGTTAAATGTTGCAAAATCTTTCGTGCGAGTCTGGAGGCCACACCGTGTTCTATTGTTTTTGCTTCGTTTATTATTTCACTTTTGTGAGCTTTTTTTTTCCCATGGAAAAAATTTTGCCTGCAGTGGAAGAAGTAAAAAAACATCAAAAGTTGACCATCATCTTGAAGGTGGGAAAACAAAAATAGCAAGCAATCGAACAAACAGAAAAAAAGAAACAGCAGAACGGATGATAGAATTAACCTCAAACACAGAATCAACGTCAAGTGAGCGGAGTCCTCAAATTAACTTAGTTCGTTAAGGACGGTCTCAAGGAGTGATGAGTGATGGCTTGTACAGCTTTAAAATATTACCCAGTTTAATGGCTAACGGTTTGATTTCTTTTCGTTACAGTTAACAGAAATGTTAAAAACTAACTTCAGTAATTGTGAAAAATTAATGATTGATTTTCATTATTCTTAACCACATTAGCTCGCTCGCTTTTACCATTGGAGCCAAGCAGTAGTGTAATTTTCTGTTTCCCTGCCATAGCCATAGGAAAAGAAGCAACAGTCTAAGATTTTGACGCTTTCAAAATCACACGTCGTATATAGGAAAAATTTTATGGTTAACTTAATATTTTTACGACTAATGGTTAAAATTTGTCCATTCTTGCGCCTAGCAGCTAAATTTTTTAGCCATCTTACTGTTAACGGCTAACTCCTTTGACGCCTAACTTAAAAGTTTGTAAACTTCTCGGACAAGAATGCATGTCAAAGCTAAATAATTCCTTAATTAATGACTCTTGGATGGGTAAATAGAAGAGTTCTCCAACAGTATTAGTTCTTTCACTATCATAAAACTAAAGCAGTTATGACTCGTCCGATAAAGTATTGTCTAATGTGCATGTTTGGTTGTTTACAATAAATACCGAATAATAAACCATTTAATTGTTTGTCTCACGATGTAGATCGCGATGTTTCAACTGCTTACTGCTAGTCTTCATCAGGCGATGGGGTCGACTTCTCACGCGTTACCATTTGTTGTATCACGGCGATCTAATGCTATCGACAGATTTCGATCCCCATTATTCCGGTAGTTGTTCCTTCGGCGGTTTGCTCTCAAACCGGTCTCCCGATGTGTTCCTTGATCGTTGGTCTCCACGCCTCAGGAATTTTGCTTCTGGAATTTCGCTGTGATACAAATGGTAACACGTGAGCAGTCAACCCCATTGCCTGACGAAGACTAGCAATAAGCAGTCGAAACGTCGCGACCTACATCTCAAGTGACTACATCGTGAGACAAACTATTAAACAGTTATTATTACTTACCACCACGATGAGCAACAACCTCTTTTATGATATTAAATACCCTTTCGGGAACCCGTGACGTCATACAAGATTTTGAATATTTTTAAGTTCATTTTTTTGCGGAAAATATACTTTCTGGCCTTCAAAAACGCATCCACAACTGAGCCACAATTATTTATAATTCTAATGAAAGCCTTGTTGAACCTCATACTTGATAAGTTTCAACGCCAGATATCACTCGTCCTCTAATATATTCAGAACCTCTTGTTTCTTCCAAATCTTCAACGAAAATTACTAATATGTGAATAGACAGCAGCTCAGTTTAAGATGTAAGCGGCTGAAAATCGCTGTTGCGAAGCGCACTGTTTCAGGTGCGTCGAACAATGCTTCCGCAATGAGTCTTCAAGATGACGTCTTTAAAACAGCAAATACAAATATATAAAAGACACAGCAAACAATACTTACTTTAGAATGATTTGCACAGCGAAAAAATCACGCAAGAAGCCTAATCCTACCTCCTTGCAATGACTAATTTCATAAAAGCTTTGGCCTAAAGGCTTTCAGTTTTTTTCTATTCTCTTTAATCATTTTGGGGATATTTTTTCCTGGAAAAATCGGTTGTAATTTGCCACTTTAACTGAACAAATCAAAATTAGTTTTTTTTTTTCAAAGCTTTGAGCAGCTGTACGCTCGCTTTTATTTTGTTTTTTGCTCTGCCAAAATGGGGTGTAATTTCATCTCTTTAGTTAAGCAATTATCCCCTTGTGCATCACTTAAGGCGTTTTAAAATTAGTTGAACTTTGAACGGCTGTTTAAACATTTGGTTCGATAAAAAAAGGTGAAACCGACCCTAAGCAATTACAGAGGCTCTACAGGGCAGCTGAGCGATACAGCGTCATTTGATGATGAAGACTTATTTTCTCGTTTTTTTTCTTCTCTTTTGCTTTGCCAGCGCCAAAACAAAGCCGGCAAAGAGAGAGTTGAAATGCGGTACTGGTAAGAAAAAAGGTCTTACTTTTTTTGTTTTTCTAATTTCAAACCTTCAAATGCTAATAGTTTACAGTTCCTTTTTCAAAACCATAAATAAAGATGAAATTACATAACGATAACTATATTTAAGCGAGCTTATCCAGCCTATAACTTTATTTAAACCAAATCTAAAACACGTTTTAAACCTTTTTTGTCAAACATGGTATAAAAAAGTTTTCTAGATAGAGGTTGCTTCAACTGATGTTTGTCTACTTCAAATCTAGCACAATGAAAGTAAAAGTTAGTTATAACTTGAATACTAAATAAAATTTAGTCTCAGTTACACTTGGTTCAACTAAACGTGTTTTGCTGGTGTGAATGGGGCATAAGATTATTAAAGAATTTCAACCTTTTTTTTCTTACCTATCTTTCATTCAACGTATTTTTCTTGCTATTGCTGTCAACAGACTTTCCAAAGAAATTGTCTGGAAGACTCTATATGGTATGTATAATCGCTCGAAAGTGGTAACTCTCTTTACTTGCCAAATGTTTGATCAAGAAATAAATAGATAAATAAGTTTGATTACTCCAATTATGCTGTTTGAGTGTACATATCTTCAATAGGACGAAGAGACGTCGCATGGGAGTTCACGCGACACAATCAGCGACATTGGATTGAATTGGCTTTTTTCTAGATCTCCAAAATGAGGAGTATCTAAAACTTTGAGAAAAATCGCCTCATGAACGACGCTATGTCAAGAAATCACTCTTTCCGCCTAGCTGTGGCGAGATACTCTCCTAAGGTGTAGACTCGCTTGTTCTTAAAGCTGTAAGATTCAGAATTGTTGAAAGTTTTCTTTCTATTTGGTGAACGAAGTGACAAAGATGCTAAAACGCAAGATATTGTATGGGATACTCACCTGAGGCAATTCGCGATATTGGATTGGCTATTTTTTAAATCTCCAAAACGAGATCTAAAACTTTAAGAAACCACTAGGCTGTGTCGAGAAATCATTCTTTTCCTTTCAGCCGTGGCGAAATTCTCGCATATATTAGGAGTAAGCTCATTTGCTCCAGATTCAGGATCGTTTGCAAGCTTACCTACTATGAGGTGAACGAGTAGCAGAAATTTGAAATCTAAGGTCGGTGGTCTAATAATTAAAAGAGTTCAAGTTATTGTCTCGACCTTGGAAGAGTGGTTTTTGGTAAGTGGGCCCAAGTTCAACCCCTCTACTATGCTACTCACTGGATTTGTTCTTGGTTGCCCCGAGTTCAACTCCTTGGCTGTACTGTGTAAAAAGCCAAATGGTGTGCCTCCAGCCAGTTTGGATCTTAAAAACACTATGTTTAATCGCAATATTTGTTCCAATTTGTTCGTAATGGCTGCAAAGCCTTGTTGGGGGAAAGTCAATTCATTATACTTGCATACAAATACATCCAAAATACATACTCATTCTATCTTGCGATAATATTATTTTTGATGCTCTTAAATTAATCTGTGTTTGCCTCTTCTCTAGGTGAACGTGACTGAGTCGGGAGGCACATCTAAGTGGGAAATGACTTACAACATGGACTCAGAGCTTGAGAAGATGCAGACATTGACAACATTTAATGGCGTGGAATATAACACGATATGGGACTTTAAAATGGTAAATTAATTTCGGTTTTTTTATTAGCTTAATTGTTTGTTGGGAAAATGCGGAATTCTCACAATTCATTAAGAATCAAACCAAAATATATATTTTTTCCTTTTGTTTGTTTGTTTGTTTGTTTGTTTGTTTTTGTTTGTATTCTACCCATCCGCAAATAAATAAAGTGCCGCTAAAAAAGATTTGGACATTTCGATTCACAGGGCAAGGCGTACACGGTATACTCTGGGAGATGTTTTGTTTCACCGATTGAAGATGATGATGTATTCAACTCGGAGGAACTCAAGAGCTTGACTTTCGACACTAAAGGAAAGCTTGGAATGAAAGGCACCGTGGTTGGAGTGTATGGAGGAATAGTGAACGGAGGCAAGTGAAGTACTTGACTGTAAATATTTTGCCATGAGACCTGGAACCTACACTCTCGAATTTCCTCATAAAACCATCTCTCCCTTAAAAAGGACTCTCTTCTATTCGGTGACAAATAAATATTTTTCAATTCAGTACACTTGACCGGTGGACAATATCTACCGTTGTGAGTCGAATGTCTGCAACCGTGACCAGCAGTAAGAGAAAAATTTAAACAAATCTTTACGATTGTCGGACGTACCGTTTTGTAATTGCATTGACTTGCCTCTTTTTTCATCGGTTGTGGGGGAATGTAAGACAGAAATATAAATTTGATGGTTAATGATTTCGATTGTGGATGTTTCAACCTGCAGTTCATTTGACTATAACTTTTGAGTTCGGCGACCTACGCATACCAGTCAGTTTTGATTCAAAGGAATCGGGATCTGCCACCTTTGGAAGGTATTTAATAGACTATAATAATGTAAAGCACATTTAAATGAGTTTCGTAACTCAAAACCATCATAATGATGACAGTCAATCAGGGAGAAGGAAAATATCAAAGAAGCAACCGAAAACTGAAAGGAAAATACAAGCTAAGTAACAGAGGCGAATGAAAATGCGCGTGACCAAGTCACGATATCGATTTTAACTCTGCGTTCAATTGGTTGAGAGGATGGTTCAAGTTTGCCAAACCCCATATAGAGCAAAGTTATTTGACTCTCCCGTTTAACTGCTTGCTTCTCATAATATTTATTCCCATAACATCTTTTATTTGAGCGGAAGATCGCCAAAAAAACAGCAGCTCAAAAGTAGGAGTTTCGTAAACATACACGTTTTTTAGACGCGATTAGAAAGTGGACAGTTTTGAGTTATTTTCCTAAGGCTTCCTTCTCTACACAAGTTCCGTTGGCCCGATGAAGTTTATTTAAACAAACCTTTACGATTGTCTAACGGACCCCAGTCTCCAAGCTTGCCCACAAACCTTTGGAACGTTTTTTAAAACTCGCTCCGGTAGATGCTGCCCTTAATCGTGTGAAATTAACTCGTCAAAGTCCGAACTGAATGAAGCCCGTTTGAAAGAATATTAGATCAATGCAGTTTCGATCTCTAACTTCCTATTTTAGCAGCGAAGCTTATTCATAACTGTTTCTTTGCATTTAGGTTTTTCGACTTAAAGACCAGTTTGGATCCTAAAAAGTTTAAGATACCAGAACATTGTAGCGAATCGTCGCCGATGCAGCACAGATCCCCTCCAGATATGATTCATCCATACAGAATTCATACCGCGAACCTTCAGGCAGCTATAAAGAGGGGATTCGCCTGGCTCCTTCCTAAACGCGATCAGAAAATGGGATTTTCATGGAGTCATCTGCAAAGGAAGGGATACCCCTGAAGTAACATGCATGTGGCTGACAAAGAGTGATTCTCTTGCCCCGTCAAAGGATAACATACTGAGAATGGACTGTCCTATCCTTAGTCAGTCGAATTTCCTTTTAATATTTGAATAAATGCAATCAAGAATGTAGTTTTTTTTTTGTGAAAATGATATTAAAGTTGATTTGTTTATCATCGCTCAAAAAATTATATTATTCTTTAACAGTTATGATAATGATCTCTCTCTCACTCGAATTACCTTTTGAAGAGAATATGAGAAAGCGAAATGCATTTTAAAAAGTGTTGTTTGATCGTATCTGCGAAACCGATGGCCGCTCCATGTTTTAAAGTGGGCGAAATAAGATTCTTCTAAATTCTATTTTTGCATTGCATTATATTGTTTCTACTGTCATTCCACTTTTGCGATCATTTTTCCATCAGAAAATCCTCTTATAGTGGAGGAAGTGCACAAAATCAGTGAAATGAACACAAAGTACACCATCATCTTGAAGGTGGGAAACAAAAATCAAAACTATAAAACATAAAAAAAAAAAAAAGACAACAAAACGGATGCAAAATTTAAATTATTTTGGGATAAAATATTTGAAATGAAGGCAAACTAAGGCACTAACTATTGGGCAACTGCGCGTCCCACAGAGTCTAACGAAAGCCTTTATGAAATATAATATATTCACCTTGTAGTAAAACTCATACTTGATAAATTTCAGCAGCATATGTCAGTTGTCGTTACAAACATCCAGGATCTCTTACTTCTACCAAATTTTTAACTAACATGACTCATATGAGGATAGAAAGCCGCTCAGTTTGATCGAGCTGTACGCGGTTGAAAACTCGTTACCCATCGTGAAATGCACTATGACCTCAACAAAGCAGCATATAGGCAAATCAAACACAAAGAGGCCAAAGAAAACAACACTTTTGTTACAACGAATCCTCAAATTGTTCCTCTAAATGGTCAAATGACAACCACTGCTCACTCACTTACATTAACATAGACTCAGGCGAAATATTCGGTGGCAGACTTGAAAAGATCGGTTTCTCTGCGAAAATTTGAGAAATTCTAAAGGGCTGCTAATTTCTTTCCATATAATTTCTAAAGATAGAGTCACTGATTGAGTGAAAAATCAAGAAGTACACTAACATCATGGTTATGTCTTTTATAAAATTAGTTTGATGTGTCTGGTTTTCATTGTCGACACTAGCGGTTTAGCGACAAAGCGTTTATTACAGAACGAATGTGCTAAGTGACCTAAAGCTCTGAAGCCCTATTGTTTGAGTTTCCTGCTGCAAAATCAGCTGGAATGAGACTCGATTTCTCACAAAAGTCCCACGGTTGTGACAAACATGCTTCACCCTCACTATTCTTCGTGACCATAAAGGTATATCCTTTCTCGAATAGGCTTCTTAAAGGCCGAAAATGCATGTGCAAAACCTATTGGATCTTCAATAACTGTTTATCAACCGAGCATCTTGAAATCATTCACTAACTGATGATCCACCAATGACCGACCTTCCCACTAAACCCGATATTTTCCCTTGCAGACCGGCAAATGCTCTTGTTTCCCGGCCACATATCCTCTCGGACATGATATCGATCTATTCTTGAACTTCGTCTGTGCTTTCCTCAAGGATAATTTCGTCCCTGATGTTTCCTTCAAAGTTTTTTTCTTCTGAGAACAAATGGTCACAATCTTTAGGAAAAATGCATCCTCGACAAATTTATCAGCGTAGAGACCGTTCAAAAGAGAGTTAATTTTTGTCCCCACGTCACCTTTTGATCTTCTTGTTGTTCCTGGCAAAATATTTGCTGTGTGGCGAATAAAATCTTCTTTGCTGGAAGTACTAACTTTGCATCTTTTAGCTTCAGTAAATGAAGGTATTCGTTTTGAAGTAAGTTTAAGTAAGTTTTCTTTCCAGTTTTCTACAGTATGATTCTCCATAGACTGGTTCATTCCAATCGAAGGCCCCATGATTACTTGCCGATTTCGGTGTTAAGCTATGCTTTCTGACCCAGAAGTGGCGAAATCTTCGAAATTTTGATATGAATTCGTCATCTCTAACGTTTAGAAGTACCTACAGTTTTTTATTTTTTTTCAAGTTAAATGCTCCTGCAGAAAATGACGTCTACGAAAGCATTGGAAATGTGAAGCTAGGCCTGATCGGATAGCTTATACCGTAATCCTCAGAATAATGGCGTAAAATTTATTATACCATTTATGAATATCGGTGACTCTATCTTTGCGAGTGAAACTACTCTCTACTCACCAGGAAATTCGGTCGGCCAAATTTCAGCATACCTACCCTCCCTCCACACCTATATGCTATATAAGTGTCTGTCAGCAAAATTCATTAAACCACAGTAGATTTTTCTGATATCCCCCTCACGTAAAGAATTCTTTGATTTCATTTATTTATTCACTGTTGTTATCCTGATCACCCTTGATTGTTCAAATAACCAAAAAATGGATCTGAAGACGAAATGAAAATGTCGTCTGCGACGTCATTGAGAAAACTACAATCAAGAGCACGGCTCGAAAGAAAATTGTAAATCTTTTGACAAGGAAATACTCTGCAAAACATTTCTATTTCAAAAAACATAATCACGAAAAAAATTTCGTGCAATCCCAATCAGTCCCTCCAAATACCTTCAATAAAAGAACCTTGTCCTGCGCCTAAGAACGCAGTATTTTTCCCACTTAAGATTGCTCATAGCCTCTTGGGAATTTCTTATCCGTATATAACCGTATATATCGGCTGGTTTGTGCGAATGCTTCGGTCACCATAGAGCTGCGTAAGAGCAAAATGTGCATTCATTCAGCGTAACCACCGCCTTTGTAATATCTCAAAGTCGGTGCGAGAAAATGAAACGCTAGTGCGGCGTTTTGTTCGTAAGGTATGAGAAAAAAGTTTCCTAGTAGGAAATGATATATCACTGTGGGCACTACCTGTGGACACAATCGAAAAGCTTCTCCTTCCTTCTTTTCTGAATTATCTCCGCTTAAAAAAATTAACTAATATGTTTTACTTTGAGAGCCGAAAGCCAAAATCCCACGCAATAAAGATAAAAAACGTTCCCTCGAACAGAACATGTCCAAAGGTTAATATTCGAAGACGCCTTTTACGGCCCTACGGAGACCAGCGTTTGATAAACTTCACACAAGCAGTTATGCCTCTTTATAAATCGAGCATACTACCTCAGAAAAGCTGCACAGTATCCTTGTTAAAACTTTTTTTGTATAATAATGAAAATAAACAGATGTATTTGAGAACACCCGCAGTTTTTGTCAAATGCTAGTTAATTTACCGAGATGTGAAGATATTAAGAGCACACCTCGATAACTTGTTATCAGAAACAAATTGTTGAACTAACTACCAGCAAGAGAGAGAATGAACTTTCGCAATGGGTAGAAAACCAGCTTCGTTTTGCAATTCTTCAAAAGAGAAAGAAGTGTCTTTGTTAGTTAAAAGGATCAGCTATGCGTATTTGTAATTATCAGATGGACTGGCTTGAACGCTGGTACATTGAGGAACTGACGTTATACAATTTCCTCCCCAGCGGCTCAGTTGTTATGCAGTTTATTTCAATTACGAATTTTTCTCTGCACCTAAAAGTATAGATGGATATGACAAACTTCCAGGAAAATCAATATCCTATGCGGGGCAATGTGGGCAATACTCCATATTTCTTCATGCCGGAGAAATCTGGATCTTAAAAAGTTATGAAAGTAATTGACCAAGATTAGGCTCACGAACCTCTTTTGTTTGTAGTAATCGATCATACTCTCGAATTTCCTTGCGTGAGCAAAGCGTAAATCGTGTTATTAACAAAATAAAAAACTGTGGAACTGCTTATGTCTTAAAACAAGAAATACAGATGTTATTCTACTGAAAAAAAAACAACAACAGCAAAAAAAAAAAACAACAACAGCAAAAAAAAAAAAAACAGAACAATGAAAGGACGAAAACTGGTGGCTTCAAAGCCTAACATATGGAACCATTATTTGCAACAACGTGACAAAGTCATCTCCTGATTGTAAAGAGACACTTGAATCTTTGCTTGAAAGTATTGTACCATTCTTGAATTTCGGCTTCTTCCAAAAAAAGTCTCAAAGTGCTTTACATTTAATGATATTCCTGGGATTCACATTTCTTAAAATGCAGTCCGCGGTAAACGAAAATGGACGACAAAACAAGTTCCCATTAGGCGCCAATCGAGTACGTTGTAGAATTTTTATAATAAACCCACATGGTGTATAAATTGGATCACTTTAACTTTTATGGATCTCATCATGCGTCACAATTCACCCCCAGGTGGACCCAGGTGGTCATTTGTGTTTAAGTAAAGCGGACATGCGGATGTAATGACTCCAGTTTTCTAAAATGGCAAGCAAATTGGCCCATCCTAAAGCAACCGAGGAAATTTTCCCGACAAATTACAATCCCTGGTGCCTTATTTCCTCTGCTCAGAATTTGAACGAAAGCTCAGTCTCAGAAAACAGAGGAGCAAAGATACACATTTCAAATCATCATGTTTCACTCATTTGGGTAAACGCAGCTTTTATGAAATGTGGCCGCCTACATCCGAAGACTAACTTGTCATCAGTCGCTTCATTTGATTTTAACTGTCAAGCTGTAAAACATTCTGAGACAAAGCTTTGATTAAAGATCTTTTCTATTTAGAGTATACAGCTACGATGTACATGTATGGATAATTAGCATTTTCTTTAAATTGAAAAACTTGTTCACCTACTCCCAGGCAAATATATTCGCATCACTACTTATGAAACACGTTACCAAGCCTTGTCCTAGTTTTTCTTCCATTTCTTTCTCTTTCTTTTCAGTAAGAAACTTTGGATTATTACGCTCATTAAACAATATAATCCATTAGAGAGTCTCCTATAACATGCACGTCGATCGCCATTAAAAGGTATTTAAATACCTATTACAAAAGGTTTTTGAAAAAACCGCTCAATCACTTTGTTTGCGCCGGGAAAACACCTTTCACTTGTAATTGAACTTTAATCCTGCCGTTCTACTTAAAAGGGGCGGTAAGCATAAAGATTCTGGACAACATATAAGAGTTGGCTTTGAAACAAGAGTGCAATTGAAAAGAACGATGAAAGCAAAATATTTTGTTCTCTTCTTGTTTATCGCGGGCCTACTTTTAACTGTGATGTCCTTGTCTCAAGTTAACCCGCAAGCTCCCATGGGTAGGAAGAGGAGGGTACTCCAGGTCAGTATAAACAAATAATGATCTAGTTTGTTCGAAAGATTCTAAACATGACCGGCTTTCCCACTCAGTTCTTAAAATCATATAATGACGAGGCTTACCAAAAGAAAAGTCCAGAAACCAAGACAGCAGCTACACCCCTGGAAGGGGCAACTAGTATTGGCCGGTTTCTGAGCAAAAGTTTGGCGCGAAAGTTTTGCGACGATTTTCGTACCCAAATCTCTGGGAATTCGTACTTGGCTTTAGAACAAGGCTAGGCAAAGAGAAAAACAAAACAAGAGAATTAACGAGCAACAACAACAACAAAAAAGTAAAACAAAACATAACCAAAAAAACCACCTTCTTTGCCGGTTTGATATTCCTAAATAATTTTATCAAAAACCCTTCTTACCCCTTTCTTTTTTCATATAACACAAATTTGTGATTGTAAAGCGCCATGAGCAACAATTTTTAAAGTGAGATTAAAATTGATATCTTGGTTTATAAAACTTACACGAGGATATATAAGGTGCAAAATCTGTAACTGCAAATGACTGTAAAACATATGAAATCTCAAAAGAAAAATATAATCGTTTGTCTCACGATGTGGTCACTTCGGACTTAGATCGCGACGTTTCGACTGCATTTACCGCTAGTCTTCTTCATCCCTTGAGGAGGAAGATTAGCAATATGCATTCGAAACGTCGTGAACACTTCCGAAGTGACCACATCGTAAGGCAAACCATTATATTTCTCTTTTGAAGTGCTATTTACCACGATGAATAAGTACAACTTATTTTACGAGATGACATTTCCTTTTAAATATAAATCATTGTTATCTGCACCGCAGATGAAGCAAGATATGTGCCGTGCAGTGAGGAATCTTCGTTGCGATGTGTTGGAAGACGAGGAGGATATAAACAGGAGGCTTGACTACTCAGCCATATAGCAGTCGTTTAAAGAACACTAAAACTGGCGTAAAATCAGAGTGTTTTTTTGTTCTTTTTTGAGTGTCACTCAAAAAAAAAAACTAAATACGAAATGTGTCACGATATGTTACAAAAATGCCAATATTTAAGCTAAGGGGCTCAAAATTGAAGTTATACGAAGGTGAAAATAAGATATGTTTTTGATTACCAATTGGGGTACTTGAAATAAAGAATTGTAAAAGAAATTACTGTTTCGTTGTTATCTCTTTGCCAAGTTTCGTCAACAACTTCTGGCCACGAATTACAAAATGTATTTATAACTTCATGTTTTATATTTTGCTCTTAAAACATCATTAAGTATTTTTACAAGTCATCATTATCATCTGTCCTTTCAGCGCTAAATGACGCATGAGGCCTTTGTCATGAAACTACTATAAATTTACAATTTGTTAACGTTTGGTACGTTGATGTCTCCTGGGTGATATCTGTGTGCCACAAATAGAGTAACAATTTGAGTTTTTATGAAGAGTCGAGCCTCAGACTTTTGGATTCCGCGCATCGATGCTCTACCACTGACCAGAGAGAACTCTGTGGTCTGTAAGACCACCAATATTTTTTCTTCGTCCCACGCACTTTTTTCGTTCATTACGTTGCTCACGGACCATCTTTCCTGCTCTCAATGACATGACACTCTCGACACGGCTGATCCTTACATTATGTAGGACGTAGGCTTCATATGAACCTAGAGTTGTTCTAGAAAGTGTTCGCTTTGGAATGTTTAGGCTCTTTTTTATAGTCTCATAAAGATATGCTAACCCCATATGTATGACGGATAAAAAGTCTAGTTCCGCATTTCATAAGCGGTGATAATATGGTCAAAACGCTGAAATTTTAAGATGTTGCCGATTTCAGTCAGCTTTTCGATTTTTGCCGACAGAGTCGCGTTACTAGTTAGTTAAAAAGGACGGCTACTATAAAGGATTTTGTACAGGGAGGAGAATATCTTCCCCTGAACTGTATAAAAAAAAAAAAATAAATAAAAACCCGCAATAATTGCCACTGGTTAACATTTAATCAAATTTCTTACTCTCGCAAGCTTACATTTCGCTAACATGGATGCAGAGACGATGAAGCATTTTGAAACGTGCAGTAAATCATATCATCGTGCACCGGGCCAAGGTTGCATTCCTACTTCAATTCATTTATCTGCGGTACTTAGACAGGCTGGCACATGCCCAGTTCAGCTTTAAAGCTAATTGAAATGGGGCCTGTGTAAACATTGACAAGGCCAGACCATAACACCTCACAGGAGCTACAGGTACATTGCCTGCTCTTTATAGTAGTTTCATGACAAAGGCCTCATGTGCGTCATTTAGCGCTAAAAGGACAGATGATAATAATGATTTATAAAAATACTTAATGATGTTTTAAGAGGAAAATAGAACACATGAAGTTATAAATATATTTTTTCAATTCATGGCCAAAAGTTGTTCACGAAACTTGGTAAGGAATGATGAAAATGAAACAATTGGTAATTCAACGTATCTTATTTTCATCTTCCTTCAACTTCAATTTTGAACACCCAAGCTTAAATTTTGGAGTTGTTGTAAGATATCGTGACTCATTTCGTATTAAAGTCTGTTTTTTCTAAGTGATAATAGCGAGGAGTGCTTGGGTTCCTTAACGTCATAAAAACAATCAGAGCACCGATTAATTTTCGAGGTGCAGTTACTGCCTTTGATTTTTATACTGCTCGATACAGATGTCAAGTTCAAAACATTTTAAAGACGTCAATTGTCGCTCCTTGATTTCGTTTTGGTTTTGACAAAAACACCAATTGGAGTTTTGACTGATTTGTTACTTCCTTTTTCAATTTCATAACCGGAATACAATAAACTATTAATGGGCGTATGGTTCAAAGAAAAGGGTCTTCAAACAGATGCTAAGAATGTCAGTAACAGAACGGTCTCCAGTTAAGTGAAATAAGTCAGTTCTTGCTTTGTTTGCGGCATGCATGCGTACCTGCACACGTAGAACCTGATGCACTTAAATCTTTTGGGAAATACATGCTCTGATTGTTGACCCGTTGATCATAACCCTGAACCGTAGACTGCTGTACGTGTCCCGTAACACGGTGAATGCGCATATTTTATTCCAAAGATAACCAGTTTCGTTTTGGATCAGTTAGCATACTACTGAGACTTATTGTTTGATTAACATGGTAAGGATGACTCACTCATAGAGCGGTTACATGATACTCATGCCTTGTTAAAACATGACACGATATAAGCGCTGCAATGAAGCGGTTACTTTTGCAGAAAGTTAACATTGGAGTCCAGTTGCGATGAAAAAGTAATCAGTACATTACGCCTGTGTAAACACACACAAAAAATGCAATACCGTTTATTGAAATTGAACTTAGGCAACAAAGGAGACATACAACTCTGTTTCGACAATTTGAATTTAGTTTTAAAAATCTAAAATGTGTTATTCAGCTTCCTTCGGCGGTATCTCAGTGGTTTCTGTGACAAAACTATCGTCGTGGAGCCTAAAGTCAAATCCGTTGTTTGAAAAACCGTCTCTCCTTAGAGATATGTCTGGTTCGTTGTTTTTCTCGTCCAACCTGAAGGTTTTTCCGCCGCCTACTCCATAAGCCTCGACGTTCTGCTTCATTACATTTAGCTGGCATTTATTGTCTTTCTCTTTATGGTTGATACAGATATCGAGTCTTAGTCCTTTCGTAAATCTAAAAGCTTGTCTTGCAGCCTTCCTGAATTCCTTGCTCATGAATGACGAGACTATAGGATTTAACAGAGAATGAGAAAACGCTAACATACCCACGCAAAAAGAGAAAATGCCAAATGGGTCGTAAAGCTTCATCACTGGAGTAACGTGTAATAGTTCAGCAAATGTTAGAGGTGTTAAACAAACGACGAAAACAATGACCACGACAAGAAGCATGCGAATGATGCTTCGTCTCATCTTGACAGCACTGCAAATGTCGAAACGGGATCTTTGACGAAATCTCTCCACCATATCGTATAGCTTCTTTGAAACTTGTCCATACGTGAAAATCATTATCGCGACAGGTATCAAATACAAGAAAATAAACAATGGTACATGGTACGCTAGAAAAACTACCAAGTAATCTTCTGGCCGTCTCTCCATGCACACCGTTCGTCGGTAAGACCATTCGGTTGAGCTAATATAGACCTGCGGCAGAGCTAAGAGGCATGCCGCAACCCAAACACCGAGTATAAGCTTCCGATTGCAGACGTTGAAATCGAGACATTTTTTGAACCGTATGGGCTTACATATTGCGTAGTATCTTTCAATACTGACAATTGTCAGGCTTATGATCACCACGTTATAAAATGCATGAAGGAGAAATCTGTGAGTTTTACACCAGCCGTCTCCAGCGTCCCAGAAATCATTCTTGAAGGCAAGCGCCTCCAGCGGGGTTTGCAACGCAAATAGTAAGTCTGCCACAATCATGTTGCATAGCAAGTTGTTGGTAACATTTCGCAATTCTTTTACTCGATAGAATACGAATAAAATAGCGGTGTCCACAATTACAGCGACCACCAGGAGCGCCAAATAGAAAATGAATGCAAAGAGACGAACCCGCATTGGCAGTTCGTCTATAAACGTCTCTGTTGAGGAGACGTCTCCATTTGTTGTCGATGAACTTGTCAAAGTGTCGTTTCTCAAATCCATAGCTTTTTAGTTAAAATCAAAGGGGGCGTAAAATACTAATTAGTAAGTTCAACATCGACAAAATCAAAGAGTAAATATTTGTTATTTATAAGCTTGCCGATGAGCGAGTGTTTTTGAACGTAGTACTGTCTTTTCTCCTCAAGACTTACTCCATGACGTATGATAATCGTCGAATCCACCGGCAGAGAATAGTATAAAGTTCACTGATGAGCAGATAAGGTAAACTGACACTTTCAAACGCTGATTCAATGAACTCTCTGGGTTAAAAGAGTGTCTTTATGGCGAAATGAACGAAACAGGTCATCTGCCAGTGGTACTGATCCTACAGCTGGTAAAATTGCGGAGTCTGTTACTTTGGGTACCAAATGTGTGGCTTATTCCGCTATGTGTTCTCAAAAAATGTCCCTTCGACACTGTCCAGTGTGTCTAGTACTCGTTGAAATAAATATTGAAGGTACTGATAAATTATTCATCATACATGATTCAGCATTGTTTGCTTGGTTGATCATATGTCAAATAATTTATTTAGTAAGGCAGTATACTCAGTTGCGTAACAGTATAAGGTAAGTGTGAACTTTAAACTCTATTTTGCCATGAAATGGCGATGCAGGATATTTATTCTCTTTCAGTGCGCGTTTTTGGACGTGATAAACAAACGAAAACAATTTTTTCTCTCTTTTTTGCGCCAAGTGCTTATATAAATAATTACCTCTTATCGCAAAATCAAAAACCCTAGTCAACCACAAGAATTTACTTCTTCGTATCCGAACGGTAGCGGTAAAAAAACAAAAACCAAAAGAAATAAAATTGACTCTGATATTTTGAGAAATTTTCAGAAACTCTAAGCATAAGAAAATGACAATTATTATTATTTCATTTAAATTAAATATGATATTATTGTTAGAGCTCCTTTAACAATTTAACAAAGATGTGAGATTAGTTATGTAATATCAGCCTTATTTTGATTGGTGCAGGTAAGTGCTTCAGACACACCTAATGCGTCATTTGTTTGTTTTCATGTCAATACGCTTGTTTAAATATAACTTTTGTTGCACTGTATATTAAGCCTTTCGGAATCTATGGGTCAATTTTTACAAAGAATTAACGGCTCTACGTTTTTCTGGAAATTCTGATTTCTTCAAAGAGATCAGAAGTGAACAGTCGATTTTGTTTCGACAAAGTTAGACGTGAACATTGAACGCGCACTAGGATGAGGGTCAGACACATGGTCATCTGAATTCTCGAGTGTTTTTGAGAATGAATCACCGAAGCAGAAAATATGACAACAAAGAATAAATCCACAACATCCTATTAACGGTTGTAACCTCTTCCGCACAGATCTGTTGAACGTCATCGGGTGATCATCTGAATGGTTATAATTTTTCCTTCGGTCTTGAAACATTGTAGCTAGCAAATTTTGAAGCATTATCATTGCATTGACTCGTGGATTAGAATTTTCTTATTTTATTTAATTCAATTCAAAACATGTAGTTTATTTGCGTTACATCCTCATAAATTCAATCAACTTTTCCTCGATTAGATACAACACTTGTCAATCATCTAACGTCACCTCGCTACAAGTTAAATTAATACATTAATTGATTTTTCTCCCCCAGACTTGACCTTGGTTTAACCATAATTGAGTTTTTACACGTGCAAACTTTCACGGCGACGAGATTAATTGACTTACTGCGACCGTTAGTTCAACATTAAGAATCAATCATTTGCGGTTTCCTTAACAAGAAGTGGACAGTCAACACCCACTCTGATCCTCTTGGATGCAAGTCTAGTGATGATCTACTAAACTTCTTTTGACCCCCAACCATTGTTTTGAGTTTGACAGTTTTAAGTAAATCACGTCACCGTTTCTTTTTATTTGAGTCATCTTTGTCACGTAGAAATAAAAAAGTAAGGGTCTTCGAGTAACAGGTGACCGAAAGAGAGTGAGCATGCATAAGAATGGAGATCGATTAAGAAAGATACATTGTTGATAAAAGAAGAACCTGAAAAATTATAAGAATAACAATATTAACAATACTAATAATATCTATGATAATAACGATGTTAATAATAATAATGTAAAAAAATGATAACCATGTTAGTGATGAAAAAAGGATAATGATAAGAATAATGATAACACTAATAATTAAAAGTAATGGTAGTAGGACTGAGTGGATCCAATTTTGTCTGTAATCATACGAGTGTTAACAAAATCAGACGAGCACGCAGCGGAAGTGTGATTTGTTCATCTCGAGTATGATTACAGACCGAATTGGACGACACGAAGTCTTATTACCAATAAATCATAAAATTACAATTTCCGAGAAAAGAAGAATAGCCAAGTTATGAAAGAAAGAAAGGAAAATTTTGCATTAAAAGACTGAAAAAGGAAGCTTAAATTGTTTAATTGATTGATTTAAACTACAACTTTGAATGTGATTGGCTTACGAGCTGTCCGATAACAACTTGGCTCGTAAATTAGTGAAAAAATAGGAGATTTATAAAGCAATCACAATCGAGGAAACTGTAATTTTTGTGATTATAATGGTAATAACTACAATAGTGTTAATGAATAATAACAATAGTAATAATGATTATAAGGGTAGTAATAATTAAAAATTACAGTATTGATCATAATGGTCGTTATTATGTAACAATAATGATGGAAATAACGATGATAATGATAATGACACTTATCAGGAGCCCATTATTGGCTCCTGTACTAATCATAGTTTTCAACACATAATAGTTATATAATAAGACCGCCTCTTGACCTCGTAGAGTCTAGTTAATTTTATTTTACTGCGGATTGGGTTATTTGTACCTGGGTGGATATAAAATATGTCAATAAAGTTTTACGTTTTATTTAACAAATAATGATGAGTAATATTATATAAATAATAATAATCATAGTCATAATAATAATAACAATATGGAAAATGGGTATAGTAAGGTCAAAATTAATTTAGGCATCGATCCTGTCTCTTCTAGCTGAGAGACTGTACGTCGGGCTCAATGCAGACAAACGCAAAGAAGGGATGAAAAAAGAGAACACATTCGATGTGAACAATTTCGTAACCATTTTAAGGCGTTCATATTTGAATCGCGAGAAACCAGGAAACGAGAAAAAGTTTTCATTTCGGCTCCAAGAAGTGTATTAACACACTAATCTAACTTGCATTGACATAATCATATGATTTGCCCATATCTACATAATTTACACACTTACACACATGATTTAGCTTCATTTCAAGGAAAGTGTGTATCTGTGTGACAGCCGCTCTTTTTATAGTTTAACTGAGGCTGTAACACACATATCATCCTCTACTGACAAACAATTCTTTCACATTATAATTGAGACATAAATGTGAACGCACCTCTATACTCTTTCATACACAGGACTGGCAAACGAAAATTAATATTGGGGAAGAAGGAATAAATTAAGGGTTGAAAAACAAGGGAGGGGAATTGTATTTTTTTTTTTCTGAAAGGGTGATGTTGCTTAAGTCCCTGAAAAAATTCCAAACCTGGAGGCTTGAAAACACTGATCCTAAGTTCATTGCACCAAGTTAAATGGGTTCGGCATCCCAGCTTAAGTGTTTTATTTACTTTTTTTCTTTTGCAAGATCTCGCCCACTAATTTTATTTAGGTCACCTACAAAGTTTATAATTACTGCTGCTTTTTGCATAGAAATAATTTTTTAAATCGATGATTGCTTTTAATACATATGTAATTAGCGCCACACAGATCCAATTCAGCCTTGTGTTCGCGTAAAATCAATAGTATATTATAGCAAATTACCTTAAAACTATTGAATTAAGAGATATCAATATACTAAGACAGTAAATTCCCGCTAAAAAGGCTATTTTATTACTATTACCAAAATCAGGAATAAATTTTTTTTTCCATCATTCATCAATTAGAGCAACACTTTGCCTGTAGTTTTGTTTTTAGCGCTCACAAACTACTAGTAACTTCTTTCGGAGATAGAAGAGGACTTTCCTCAGTTGCTGAAATGATCGACATCCCCTCTAACGAGTAACAGAAAAAAACATTTCTTTAACAATGGAAAAACTGTCGTTTCAATTTAACTAGAACTTTGTTTGTGCCTAAGAGGGGTCTGTTGTGTGTTGCTTCTACGCATCAAAGAAAAAAGGATTCTTCTCCGCACCGGCTTAAGGCGCCATCGACAATGCATGCATTTGAAAACTTGCCCTGTGCACCCAAAGCAGTGATGAACCGACCCGTACACTAACGGATTAATCACATGGGTCACCAGCACAAGATTGACGCAGAGAGAGAAGAGCCAAGTGAACTTGGAAGTAAGAACTTCCCAGGAATCGTAAAAGAAAACACGGATGAAATGGAACACGTGAATTGGGAGGTGAAACAAAGCGAAGATCGCAATGATGGTGACCATTTTGCGAACGGCGCATCTACGCTTCTTCTCAACTGCTAAGCGTGCAGAAGGAAAATTTTCTCGGTCAATTGCGCTCAACTTTCTGATGATTTTTGCATAGAGAACACTAATAAGAAATAGCGGGATCAAATACAAAATGACCGCGTCAATTGGTTGGAGGAATATCTCTACATTTGAATGCGGCCATTCCAGACCGCAAATGTATTTGTCTTCATTTATATCAATATCTTCCTTTGGCCCAACATCATCTGGCGAGATATCCTGAGTTTCAAGATCTTCAAATGTATCAATTTGTATGGTCTTGAGGTAGATCAGTTGTGGTATGCAGAGAGAAATAGCAGCAACCCAAATAATGATAATGAGATACTTAACCGTTCTTTTCTTGATTGGGTCGGAGAATGTGATGAGGTACCTCTCCATAGCGATGGCTGTCAAAGTCGCCAACGAAGCATACATGGAAATGTGTGTCAGCGAGAAGACAGTTTTGCAAAGGAAGTTGCCGAAGGGCCAAACAAAATCAAATGCCTCGTATGCCATGTAGAATGGAACATATACTGCGAGCACCAGCAGATCAGCTACGGCTAAGTTGATAAGGAACGGCATCACAGGTGACAAGAATCCTCCACTTTTCCTCCAGACGAAAAATATGGCCGATACGTTGGCTGGGATGCCGAGAATGAGGAAAATCATGTTTATAATCATCTGGATGGAGAATGAGGAGCTGCTGTCATCTGCTGATTGCAGAGTTGGTTCTGTTTCCGATGAGACTGCTTCAAACGGTGTTGAATCCATGATTACTGCCTTTGCAAATGCTTCGTTTGTCCTGGCTCTACCACAAAGGAAACACTCCTTTGTAATTTTGATGTAAATTAATAATTTTTTTCTTAGAGTTAAAGTACAATGCTGTCTGAGAATACTATATTGAAAACGAAGCCAATATATATTGCAGGCACTTTTGGCATTACCCACCTATTCCTGTTAAGAAGAATTTAAAAAGTTATTTTTCATTTTTTTGTGATCAATTGGCATGTCCTGAAGATCCTCTCGAGTGTAGATGTGTTCTTATTTTTGTTTTTCTCCTGCCAGACTAAATCGCGATTTTCCGATAGAATTTCGTTCATGGAAAACAATGGTCTGAAGAATATTCCCACAGTTAACGAAGCGCGGAAAAAAATGATCCTCCAGTCGGGTACTCTTTCAGTTGGTAGTTTTAATGAGTTTTCTTTGCTGTCAGTCCAGTAGGTGTTACATAGAAGCTTGGTCAGTGAAAGTGAGGGCTTATCTCGGCCGAAAAAAAAAAAAGCAAATAAAGTTTGTAAGCGTTTGTCAAATGCCCGAAAAAGAAAAATGTGAACCCCTGAGTCAAATTTTAACTCCACCTTGTTCTGCTCTAGGGGCCATTTTGCTCTACAAACTGAGCTTCAGAGGGCCGAGTCATTTACTAGCGATGTCAATTAACAAAAGATAGGAAAAAGTTACATTTCGTTTACTTTACCTTTCCTTTTTCGGTTAAGTTGGCCCTTAACCAAGATAAACTTGTCCTTATTTGATCGGGTTGTTCGATTTACTCGAAATGCGCTTCAAGGAAGACTGGCAATATTACAGGCGATACGCATTTGTGATAGAGGTGTGTTTTGCAAAGAAAGTGTGAATTAATTTCTGTAAGTTTTAGGTGACAAAGAGATATTTCAAAGATAGGAAATGGTGATCAAACAATGATCAGGAATTAGGGAAGGATTAGGCTTCTAATTGAGAATCATTTACTACCAGGCAGAAGATGGCGGAGTGAAAGGTTTTTGTTGGATTCGATTCTTTTCATATTGCAGTCGAAACCATTTTAAAACGAAAATTATGCACATATTATGAATACTTCATGTGATTATCTGTAATTTTTATACTTTTTTTTTCTTAAAAACCAAATTAAATAAACAAGGTCTACAATGTGTCTGATAAGCCTCCACATATTCATGTTCTTTTGGCAAGAAAGTCATGGTTAAATTATAATTTTCAAAAGCGAAATTTTTATAAAAAGTCCACAAACTAGAGAAGTAGTAAGGACTTTTTTCGCCTCTTACACGCTATGTTGCATGTTCTTCGGTGAGTTAATGAAAAAAAAAAAGGAGACGAAAACGTCTGCCTTTTGTCTCAGGTAATTTCTATTCAGATCACGTTCACTCCCACGTTTTTATTCCCAGCGCAGGTAAGTGGTAAATTCAAAGGCATGCTTGTATGTTGATAATCAAAGTGCATTAAAACATAATGGGGGTAAGCTTCTAAAGAAACTATGGTGTTACGTCGGTGAGGGGTAGAAGAAGATAATTTGGTTTTTATAAATTGAGTTGATCATGCAAATTGGCAACAGTAAATAGTTTCTAATGATGACTTTTCGTGCGTTAACCTTCGTCATTCGCTCTGACGGAGGGCTAACGCTCGAAACGTCAGCTTTCTAAACTCTTTACCGTGCCCAATTTACTTTATCAACTCAGTTGATGAAAACCAAATTGCATTGTGTTAAAACCAGACAGACGATGACGGAGTGAAAGGTTAACGAGGGATTTCACTCATTTTAATTAGGATTGCTACCTTACTCCGACGTCCAATTAAGACGAGTTGGTGAATACTTCACATCTGATTAGTTGGCCATTGCTTTCTTAACTGAACAAACAAGGAAACAATAGGCAATAAATGTGTCTGACTTGCCGCCGTATATTTGCTCCATGTTGACAATATGCTATTGCAATGTTTTCAGAGAATATTTTGGTGCTAAGTTTGGGAAATACATACCTAAAAACTAGAGGTACATGACGGATGCAGGTGTTTAAAAAGAATCTTTCCTGTTTTAAAAACGCAAATTTGCATCACCTATCAAGCTGAATTGTATGATTTTCAACGAGCTTCAGTTGGACTTAAGAGAGAAATTAGGCTCCTCCATTTTGTTGGAGATGCTACTGTGATAACATCACTTTTAGAAAGGGTCCTCACCATGCAGGCTTTGACACTTCTTCGTGTTTATTTGAAGAAATCCACTCAAAGGGCAGATGATACCATTCATTCTAAGTCTAAAGAAATCGAAATTACAGTTCTGGTTTATTCTACAGCGAGAAAAAATATAAAGTTGGTGCCAAGCCTTTGGCTAAATACTTCCCGCACGCTTGAATATCTTTTTGAATATCACTTTGAAAATCTTCTCCCTCCACTCCTGAACATCTTTTTTTCACATACAAACCAAAATGTGTATATTTCTTTCTCTATCGCTTACATCTTTTTCGATGCTCTGTACGTCATAGTCGAATGATAAGATTTAAACTATTCTCATTATGATTACAAATTGTCCATTTGACTACTTTACTAAATAATTTCTCATTTTCAGTAAAATGGCACAGTACGTAAAGCTTATATGGTAGAATAGTCCGAAACTTATAATCATTAAAGTCTCTTGTTTCCTCCTTTTCAGTCCTTTATCGGTTGCTTAAGTTCGACTGGCTCATGAACAAGTTAGACATCTATTCCCCTTCTTGATTTCATCTCTTAAAATTAATGGCAACAAATTCATGTCATACGTGGTCGGAAGCAGTGCTGAATAGCGTTTGTGTATTCTTCCGATAGTCAAATAACAACAAATCCAGCTTTACATCATCACTGCTGGTGTAAACCCTCTTTTATTCGTTGAGACTGATTTTCACTAGCGACGGAGTCAAGTCAGATTCGTAAGAGCTATTCCGACGTGAAAACTGAAAATAGGAGTCGTAAGCAGAGTCATAAGCTCGACTGAATCGAAGTCAGAAGAATCAGAACGGTCTGATTTTCATCCGATTCCGCTTGTGACTCCGACATTTTTGATCTGGTGAAATCTGGATTATCGGAGTCGCAAGCAGAAGCGGAAGAACTAGCCAATCGCAATGCCAGTTCTCAGGCCCTTCCCGTACAATCTTCCGCTTGCCAATCCGACTCTTCAATTTTCATAGCATCGTATTCGATTCCGTCGGTTTGATTTTCATTTGATCGTTTCGCGCAGCACTCCTGATTACGACCCCGACTCCGTCGTAAGTAAAAACCAATTTTTAGAATATTGCAACGCGACGCTGTCCAACTATCGCAGAGGAACCAAACAATACTTCTACGCAATACATGCTTTCACGTAAACATTGAAAGGAAAGGACTTCCATAGCTAACCCTTTAACCTCCACAAGTGATTGATGTGTAAATTCTGCTCGAAATTTTCAAAAACTATCTAGCACAGGCAATCAAAATAAACCAATAAAAGATGTATACCAACTAAAGAGTGATATTATCTTGATGTAATGGAAACAAATGGCAGTCACAACAGTTAATTAGTAATCGCATCTTGGAAGTAAAAGGGTTACCAGAGATTGTTTAATAGTTTACATATATCCCACAAAGAAAACTAAGAAAAGGATCAATCAAGAATAGAAAGTCAAGAGGAATTTTTCTAGTTAATCTTTTCCGTTTTTTTCTCTCTTTAGTTCCTCTTCTTATTCTTCCTCTCCTCTCCTGGAAAGTTTTGTGATAATATTCTAATTATACAACAATAGAAAGGGGGCAACCACTCTTGCCAGAGAAAGCGATTATCGATTATGGAACAAATTTCCAAGATAACACTTGTGCATGAGAACGTCAATTGCTGAAAATTCGCTTGAAACTTTGTTACCACTAAGTTTTCTCGAACATGTGCCACTTTCTAGTGGTTTCCTCTGAAGGATGTTTCTGATATTTGATATTTCGAAATCTTGTACAATTAAAAAATCACTTAAAACACAGTTCGAAAGCGAACCTCGGGGGAAATTGGCTGCTGAAACGCATTCTGCTGGCAAGGACAGTAACAACAACTGAACGGTATTACAACTAACTTGGCTAAGATTTTTAACTACATTTTTCCCACACCATCTTTAAAATTAAATTATACACATTTAGATCTTCTGCCATACATATTTGACCATTTCCTCCAGATCTGTGCCGTAGTAGTTTTATTGTCAGTAGCAGAAGGGTGATAACTGCAAGCCTTTGACCCACGACGAATTTCTCGATCGATTTTTGACAGCTCCTTTGACAAGGTTTTATAGTTGCAATCCACTTTGGCTAGTTAGGCATGCAGGTTACAGTTGCCATGGTAAACCAAAGATTTCCTGCTAGGCACACGCCAGTGTCAGCTCCGCCATTCATATTCCGGAATTTCCATTTGTGGACATCAAATAAACCAACTTTAACCAATAAGTACAATGTATTTCCGAGAAAACTCATCTCCGTAAAATAATATAAAGAAATGCTTGAATTGGAGAGTTCAAGTTCGAGAAATATTCAAGCCATGAAGACAACGAAAACGACGAAGAAGATGATGAGAACGCAGAATATTTTTATAATTAACCACCTATTTGAGGTCACTGACTGAAAATACTTCAACAGTTCGCCATGTGCGGCCTCAACATTTAGTTCTGTTTCTTCAACATTGGCATCAATCCTGAAAGAAGATAATGGATCATCAGAATTACAGTAACTACGCATTGACAAGTAGACTGACTTTCAAAGTGAGATACGACTTCTCATTAATGCACGTGTGGAGTTTTCAGCATGCTCATCAAACATCTTTCCATACACCTGAAAATACAAGCATGCTCCTACCTCTGTACAATTTCAGTAAGGTTTAAAATAAAAGTGTCCCATACATTTGAAAGGAAAAGAATCCAGTTTGCGACAACAACTTCGTTTACAAACAACCTTTGCTTGAATTTTAGTTTTAGCTTTGTATCAGATTGATTGATAGGGTACCACAAGTTTCCTCGACCAATAACACAGCGAAGTAAACCAAAAACGAAACAATAACGGATCAACCTATGTTGGAATTGTCCTCACCAAACAAAATTCGGATCAACCTATGTTGCAATTTTCCACACAAAACAAAATTTGGACCAACCTATGTTGCAATTTTCCACACAAAACAAAATTCGGATCAAACTATGTTCGATTTTTTTCTACAAAAAAATAAAGTTCGGATCGAGCTATATCGCAATTGTCCTGACAAAACAAAATCCGGATCAACCTATGTTGCAATTTTCCACACACAAAAAAAAATTCAAAACAAAATTCGGATCAACCTATGTTGCAATTTTCCACACAAAACAAAATTCGGATCAACCTCTATTGCAATTTTCCACACAAAACAAAATTCGGATTAACCTATGTTGCAATTTTCCACACAAAACAAAATTCGGATCAACCTATGTTGCAATTTTACACACAAAACAAAATTCGGATCAACCTATGTTGCAATTGTCATGACACAACAAAATTCGGATCAACCCACGTTGCAATTTTTCACACAAAACAAACTTCGAATCAACCTATGTTGCAATTGTCATGACACAACAAAATTCGGATTAACCTACGTTGCAATTTTCCACACAAAACAAACTTCGAATCAACCTATGTTGCAATTGTCATGACACAACAAAATTCGGATCAACCTAAGTTGCAATTTTCCACACAAAACAAAATTCGGATCAACCCATGTTGTAATTTTCCACACAAAACAAACTTCGAATCAACCTATGTTGCAATTGTCCTGATACAACAAAATTCGGGTCAACCTACGTTGCAATTTTTCACAAAAAACAAACTTCAGATCAACCTACGTTGCAATTCTCCACAAAACAAAATTCGGATCAACCTATGTTGGACTTTACCACACAAAACAAATTCGGATCAACCTATGTTGCAATTTTCTACACAAAACAAAATTCGAGAAACGTGCCCTCGTATGTGAGGACCTGTTTCAGCCGAGACTCGTAAGTACATTCAGATATACCTATGTTGGACTTTTGTCTACCAAAAAAAAAAAAATTCGGATCAAGCTGTATTGCAACTGTCCTGACAAAACAAAATTCGGATCAACCTATGTTGCAATTTTCTACATAAAACAAAATTCGAATTAACCTATGTTACAATTTTCCACACAAAACAAAATTCGGATCAACCTGTGTTGGAATTTTCCACACAAAACAAAATTGCAACCTATGTTGGAATTTTCCAGACAAAACAAAATTCGGATCAACCTCTGTTGGAATTTTCCAGACAAAAAAACTTCGAATCAACCTATATTGCAATTGTCCTCACAAAACAAAATTCGGATCAACCTACGTTGCAATTTTTCACAAAAAACAAACTTCGGATCAACCTACGTTGCAATTCTAAACACAAAACAAAATTCGGATCAACCTATGTTTGACTTTTCCACACAAAACAAATTCGGATCAACCTTTGTTGCAATTATCCACACAAAACAAAATTCGAGAAACGTTTCCTCGTATGTGAGGACCTGTTTCCGCCGAGACTCGTAAGTACATTCGGATCTACCTATGTTGGCTTTTGTCTACAAAAAAAAAAAAAAAAATTCGGATCAAACTAAATTGCAATTGTCCTGACAAAACAAAATTCGGACCAACCTATGTTGCAATTTTCCACACAAAACAAAATTCGGATTAACCTGTGTTGCAATTTTCCACACAAAACAACATTGCAACCTATGTTGCAATTTTCCACACAAAACAAAATTCGGATCAACCTATGTTGGACTTTTCCACACACAAAAAAACAAAATTCGGATTAACCTTTGTTGCAATTGTCCAGACAAAAAAAATTCGGATCAACTTATGTTGAACTTTTTTCTAAAAAAAAAAAGAAAATTCGAATCAAGCTATATTGCAAATGTTCTGACAAAACAAAATTCGGATCAACCTATGTTGCAATTTTCCACACAAAACAAAATTCGGATCAACCTGTGTTGGAATTTTCCACACAAAACAAAATTCGGATCAACCTCTGTTGGACTTTTTTCTACCAAAAAAAAATTTGGATCAAGCTATATTGCAATTGTCTTGACAAAACAAAATTCGGATCAACCTATATTGCAATTTTCCACACAAAACAAAATTTGGATCAACCTATGTTGCAATTTTCCACACAAAACAAAATGCGGATCAACCTCTATTGGATTTTTTTATACAAAAAGAAAAAAATTCGGATCAAGCTATATTGCAATTGTCCTGTCAGAACAAAATTCGGATCAACCTATGTTGCAATTTTTCACACAAAACAAAATTCGGATCAACCTATGTTGGACTTTTCCACACAAAAAAAAATTCGGATCAACCTATGTTGCAATTTTCCATCCAAACAAAATTCGAGAAACGTGCCCTCGTATGTGAGGACCTATTTTAGCCGAGACTCGTAAGTACATTTCTAATCATTTTAGGCAGCCAAGACAGAACTCCCTTCTCTAAAAGCAATAACGGATAACGATCGACACTGAAAAAGGCTCTTTAAGAAGTGGCGTATTAATACTCGGAAGGAGTTTTCAACATGCTTAACAAACATCTCGCCATACACCGGAAAATACATGTATGCTCTTCCCTCTGTGCAGTTTTATAATAAAAATAAGTCACAAAAATTTAAGAAAGAATGTCGGAAAAAAATATTCATCAAAAAATAAATATTTTTTTGCCAGCTTCAATAACGACAGGGGATTAAGTTTATATGATAAAACAAAGGATTATGTTCACAGGAATACCGTAGATCTAGTACATTCGTTACACGAGGTCACACAACTCGGGTAATATTCACGGTGAAAATTTGCATATTTGAGCAGTCGAACGAAAAAAATCATTTCTCGAAAACTAAAATATATTTTCACAAAAAAAGCTACACCACAATTACTAGAACATATTGGGCTACAAAATATGGAAGTAGAAGGGAAAACAAATTTGGGTGACTTGCCACAGTATTTCAAATTTGTTCGATAGATGCTGACATCCTCTCTTAAAAGGAAAAGAATCCTGTTTGCGACAACGACTTCGTTTACAAACAACCTTTGCTTGAGTTCTCGAGAGAAAAAAGCCTCGGGAGACGAGGTTCGCATGTCTCGACGAGGACCTGTTTCAGCCGAAACTCATACACATCATTATGGGCATGCCAAGACAGAAAGAACTTTCTTGTCTCAAATCGAAAGATCGCTTACTTTAATGATTTCGTCAGGAACCAAATTTTCAGATGTTTTAATAAATATATCAATAACTTCCGAACCTTTCAATCTGTTCCTCCTGTTCTTTAACCATGTGAGCGAGTTCTTGAAATATGCTTCCAAGTTCAACAATCGTTGATTCAATGTTCTCCATTGCATTCGCGCGGCTTTGTATGTACTCGTCCTGTTAAACAATTATGAGAAGGGAAAAAAAAAAAGGATTACAATGTGCCAAATAATTGTCTATACTAAACCAGTCACAATATATGTAGTCAGTACAGAGTTGACAGGGTTCGATCGCCGAGACAGTTGAAAAATCAATTCTGAGCCTCAATAACCCATGCTTGGATCTCAAAATATCACGAAAATGTATATGTTAAATTTTGGGATTGACTGTATTGCGAATGAGCGACAACGTCGGGGATGCATTTTTAACGCTAAGCAAAAGAAATGAAGAGAAAACAGCACATCTTCAGATTATGAAAAGATGTTTTATCACCTACCAGTACGATTCACGCCCAATAATGCATGTAGGTAATCGCTAAGCCACACGTGGCACTTGAGTAAGTTTCCGATTTTCGTTCGGAGTATTTCACCAAATTCTCTCGGTGTATTTCACCAGGTTCTTAGGAGAATTTCCCGAAAGACACGTGTGCGAGAAAAGCGTGGTACAAATGTCAGATTTAGAGCAGCCAAAGTTGTCTGGTTAGTTTTTAACTAAAATGGAGTATCTTTTCTTATATTCCTTAAGATAGGACCAGTCCATTACCCTCGTTGCTCAGTTTCGTTCCGTTTTTATCATGCTTCATAAGACGTTCTTTTGTATGTTTTGTCGCAACAAGCCGACTAGCAAAAGGTTTGTTTTCTCATCGAATTTTTGCCATGTATTGCTTTCTAATTTTACGGTTCTTTCTGCATCCTGTTATGGAAATTAAAGATGTTGTAATTCTGTCAGCTATGTATTCGTGAATTGTTTGGATCGAATTGGATCTAGTTATCGTCGAAGGGTCGCCGGTAAAAATGCATGCAACGAAAATGGCGAGTTTGATAAGAGTTCCGAATTCAGTTGGAGCAAAGGTTACGTTCGCTTTCGCCATGGTTTTTGGCGAAACACTTTGTGGACGCTTCCTTCTTAAGTTTTGCATGGGGCCTCCAGAAAGCTTATATACTCTTTCACCAGTGCTTTTGGCGAAGGTTTCAGTTGCCCAAGCGTTTTGGCGAAAGATTTTACACATTTTCACAACGGGTGTTGGCGAACTCTTTTCTCACTTTCGCCAAAGCTTTTGGCGAAACCACTTGCTCGCTTGCACTATTAGTCTTGGCGAAAGCTGTTGGGCGAACAATTTTTCTATTGGTAGGTCCACTATGTTGACGAATGCCACACTAATAAACTTAAGCAAAAACGCTGAGCCCAAATCATCATATTCGTCAAACTCACAGCATTTAAAGGTTTGGGCTAATTTCACAAATGTGACGACTTCGAAATATTTTCGTCAAATTCATCTTTGTTTCTTTTTACTCGTTTCGTTCTCCTTAAAGATCAAATCTTTGAATATTTTATCGCAATGGTGAAACCATAGGAGTTGGTCCAAAAAAGAGCATGTTATAAGAGAATCATACTCAGCCTATACTGTGAGAAAAGGGTCAAAATCTATTCAACAACCGTGAAACTCTGACCTCCTTTTGAGTGGTATTCAGCGCATCTTGTGTTCCCTCCTCTTAATTGAATAAATCATACAAAACTGGCTAATTGTGAAGAACACCTCCTTGAAAAAAACCTGTCAGCCGACAGGCAGCCTTCAGTTGCTCGAATGTCGGCCAACAGGTTTTCCAGGGTGCTGCTGCTCCCTTCACCATTATCCAATATTATGGTCATCGTTTCTAACCTGTTGTTCAACCAGCTGCATTTGGCTCATATCGTTGGACATTAGGGGTGCGGAATCCATGTGATCCATATCTATGGCCACTGCTGAGTCACCACCTTGTCCCAAGCCCCTTGCTACATTAGATCTCTGCAATACAGAGCCTGATAATGAAGATGGAGGTAGGCTGTCCACTGCAGCACCTTGTGAGAACTGCTCTCTTCTCTCCTTCTGCTGTTTCAGATTCTACATGAATAAAAGGAAACAGTAATCAGCCAGGAATCGATGTGGATTGTACATGTACCGTAATTATGTGCTTATAAATCTTTCCACCCCCACAAATAGTGGACAAGTAAATGTACCTCTTCCTCACATTTTCCACTTGTTATCCATCAAGCAGGTGATAAGAAAAACCAGACTTAAGCTAGATTATTTTCATCCTTATATTGAATGAAACCGCCGATAAAATCTTGTAGCTACGTGTCGCAGCAACAGTTACAAAGAGAACGCAGAGTTAATGCACATGTACAAATCAGATTCTAGAAGTTGACGGACATATAACGTCTGTGCATTACATAAGATTATTAAAATAAAATTTCGAAATATATTTTAGGAGCACCAAATGAAGAGTCACCTCCATCTTCACTTGTAAATGTATCCTTAAATTCAGATACAAAATACACATGTGTAAAACTAGTTCACATTGCAAAAAATGTCTTCCTCTCAGAAATTACGGTTTGCAATGTTTTTGTTTTCAAGATTAAATCTAAAAACAAAAACCGCCATAATGTAAATAAACCAGTCCTAATAACAACATGCCACTGGGTCATCAATCTACACATGTGAATATTCAAAAGGTACATTCACTACGCAAGTGAGGATAATAATTTCTCTAAACCTAAACTGGTTCTATTAGGCTAAAACTGACTTAAATTGAACCTTCCCACCAAGAAGAGCATCCAAGCTTAATTCAGATTAAAAACTTGGTATAACTGGAGAAAAACAAGTCTTTGAGAGGCTTTAAAGAGAGACCTCAGTATGGTACATTGTAACTTGTAGCATTAAACAAACAGAAATTCATGATATTTACCTCGGTTCTTACTTCCAGGACACCTTTGAAGTCCTTTGACATTCTTGCTAGTTTTGACTGCAATGATGATAAACTTTTTTTGGTTACATAAGATTGATTAATGGTACATTGTCAAACAATTTCCCCATATCTCACCAAAAAAAGTGTTATTACTGTAAGTATTGGACAAAGTTACAGATTCTATTATTAAACATGTTTCTACACTGCAAATCTGAAATTTTAGATGCCAAATGACTAACAGAGCTTCTGGCCTAGTTTTCATGACCAAAGCAAGCACAAATGCTATCATACATACAATTTATGTTACAGTTTTTTTAGTTTTGGATCAACTAATAGTCCCCCAGTTGATACATAAATTTTATTGTCATCACTTATCTGCTTGGTTTTGTTTTAGTATTTTAAGGAGAAATTCTGTTTTGATCACACATGGGAGTTAATGAGCTAACCCTTTAACTCCAAAGATCTGATTGGTAATTCTCCCCTCTAGCTACTACACATATTTTTAAAATTAATTATGAGAATTTGGTGCTAGATCAAGATGACAACTTTTACCTGATAAGTTTGAATATTCTCGTTAGCTGTTTGCTGGATAATGTAAGGGAGAAGTTTCGTGTTGACCACTTCTGAGAGTTAACCCTTTCACTCCCACAAGTGACCAAGACAGAATTTCTCCTTACAATATCAATACAATATCAAGCAGGCAAGTGATGAGAATAGAGAAGAATGTCAATTATGGGATGATTAGTTGATCCAATACCAAATTCTCTGAACTAACATCATAAGAATTGTATGGCAGATAGTAAGGAGAATTCTTAATTAGATCTTAGGAGTGAAAGGATTAAAGGGTTAAAGGAAGGTTGGCATTTCAAATGTAGCTTTCAGTGAATTTTTAAAGATTGTACACTTTGGTTTTCTAAGCAAGAATCTACAGCCTAGGGGTTGGTACACATTCTTTCTCCCATAAGAACTAACAGGGTACAGGAACCTAGAGGGCCCTGAATATACCTAGACACCCATCATACATTTTAGAGTGTTATCTGGCTAAATAGCTGGAAGATTCTGACTGTACATACCTGAAGTGATAGTACTACTGTACTTGAGTGGGTCTGTAGATGCCTCCCTTGAGTACTAGCCTTAGATTTCACCAGCTAAAAGAAAAAAATTCACATTAAAGCACCATTAATTTGCTTATACAGCTGCAGGTGACCTTAAACCTTTAAAAGAAGCTCTCACTGGAAATAAGGTTTAACACCACTCAACAGCAAGAAATACAGTGTGTATAAGCTTTTGCGTATAAAAAAAGAGCTCCTTTAGGAGGTACATGTATCAAACTTACAAAGCAATAATCAACTTTACCTTTGTGATGTTCTTGCTAATTTCAATTACAGACTTACGCATTTTCGACAAATAGCATTAATCAAAGCAAATTAGCGGCATGTTTTCCAGATGTACACACAGATAAGCTGCACCCCTGATGTTGTTGTGTTGATAGGAATGTTAATTTTTTTTAAAATACAAAATCAGTACTAGTAACCACTATAAGTGAAATCTGCATCTGGTATAGTTTTTCAGGGAAAATATATATTATTTATCTGATCTTGTTCCCTATCATGCAGCAATCTACATGTGTATATCTACATGACTGTACATCTACATCTACATCTTCATCTACATCTATACATTAACCCAGCTATAAGTAGAGCAATATCTGTTAACAATGTTGAACACTTGGACTATACATGTATCATGGAACGATTTGACAAAGCACAATAACAACATGACTGCATACTCTTTCCCACAGAATTTGCAGTACCACACATAACAATGAGGAAAGTGCAGGTGTTGAACATAGATTAGACATGCAAAATTAGTTAATGTAATGTGAAATAACCTCTTGTAACTGGGCAATCTGCTGGTTTAAACCAGTAATATCCTGTTTTATTATGTATGTCAGTTCCTGGATTTCCATGGGTCTGTCATCAAACAATGATTTCTTCTTGGCCACTGGCGTAGAAAAGAGAAGGAAAATGCATCAAATACACACTATTACCTTGCATGGGTAAGTTTAACTCTTAAATTTCATTTTCTCATGTATCTGTTCCATAATACATTGATATATAAGTCACAGGCGTCATCAAAATGTGGTACAATTTAAAGTCATCTGTGACTATACAGCTCTAGGTGGCATGCAAGCTGCAGGCAAGTTTGTACTTGATGTTTTTACCGCATTGTGATGTCTCCAACAATCTACATGTTCTAATGAACAGATGTGCAACAACATGAAATCTATTGTTTTAATATAAAAAAAAGAAGCAAAATGTTGTTGCTGGTGACATCAACTCTGGCTTTGCCCTCCAATAGATAACAAATATTAACCACTCAAAAACCATGTATAAATAAGCTTATTGTAAATTAATCAACCACAATTCAGTGTCCATGGATATTTACACTGTACCTTGCAGTGCACCTTTAATGCTATTCCTTGTTTTATTATATAGTATACATGTACCTGTACAAAATATATAATTGTACAGACTACTACACTCTCTGTAACTAAACTAATGGCAGTGTCTTTGTGTTGATCATACAAACTCATCATGTTGCCACATATACATGAAAAACAATATTATGTTCATGAACACTATTATCACAAAAAAAGATTGTTCACTCAAAAGTTATGCAAGTCAAATTATCAGGTTTTCTCAATGAAAAAAAGTCATGTCTGATAGCTCAGGGCTAGTGGATTTTGCTATCAGACTAGTGAATTCTGTGCTTTACTTGCCCAAAGGGCAAGTGAAGATTTTTGGAGAACTACAATTACAGAAGTACTGCAAAACAAATGTTTTAAATTCCTAATAAATTCATGCAGACCGAAAATCACTCGGACAAAGTGAAATCTGCATAAACAAGACTAGGTATCGCATTACATGTCAGACAAGACATACTGAGATTTTGCGCATAAAGTAAAAGCAGGTATTGAAAAAAGCTTTGGAGGTAAATGTTGCCCATGACTAATTCATACTAGGTCAGAGAAAGCTATTAAATTTTGTCTAAATTTTGCTTCATAATCATTTGTGAGGAACATAAACAAAAGGTTTTGATCCTGAACTCCTGTGAGAAATTTATCATGGTTTTAAAAATTGGTAACATGCTTTTTAACCCTTTAACTCCCATGAGTGACCAAGACAGAATTTTTCCCTACAATATCCATACAATATCAACCAGATAAGTGATGAGAATAAAGACAAATATCAACTTGGGGATAATTAGTTGATCAAATACTAAATTCTCTAAGTTAACATAACAAGAATTGTATGGTTGACAGTAGGAAGAATTACAAATTTGATCTGGGAGTTAAAGGGCTAATGTGGTAAATTCTAAACGTAGGTGTTTGTTGATTAAAATATATAGACCACATTGCATTGTTTTCACTTTTCAGGAAAATCTTTCAGATGAAAAGTTGCCAGAAATGAAACAAACATTTTTGTTCTTTTGAAACCTAAAATCTTTGGTTACTTGTATTGAGATGAACCATAAATTCCCATAATTTTTGTTTGCATAATTTGTTCAGTGATGCGTGACTCGGCACTTGCACTTTCCACTTCTGTGTGAACTTGAAACCTGGCTTGGAAAACTGTCTACCAAACAAACCTTATTAAAAAAAAATGATCTTCTGAATGCACTACTTTTGAATGAGAAGCAAACTGATGAAAGCTATCAAATTTTTATCCCCTTTAATAATATAAAATTTAATATCTCCCCTGTTAGCAACTAAGAAATACTCCGGCTGGAAATTTTTTTTGGCGGCAACTTGGAGAATGAAGCACTTCCACTGGCAGCTTTTCTCATTGTCAACATTGTCATTTAGTGTGTCCATTGAGAGCTTTGGTTTCACAGTTTCAACATCGTTTTTTTTCCTTAAAAAATGTATTTTTAAATTCTAAAATGTCTAAAATACATGTCTAAAAAATTTTTTGGGCCAGTAAAAATGACTTTCAGGCTAGTTGATGTTAGTTACAAACCAAAGCTCTTAGCACCTTGCTACAGCTGTATAATTAAGATGCATTATACCTTATTCATTACCTAATAACAGTTCAGTTCACCACACTGTATGGTCAGTACATGTATTTATTCATTTGGTGTTGGCATAACTTACAACATTCTAATAATTATATCAGAATTCTCACAGTTTTCACAATTTTTAAGTATTAAGTACAATGTACATGCATGTTCTGTATGTCATTAGACTGAAATAAATTAAATAGAAATGGCAAAAAAAATTCCTTTAAACTTACAGATGGTAAGCTTTTCCAGTTTAGCAAAAGTATTGCTGATATCCTTTCCAATGTGCCTAAATATGAGAAGGGAATGTAAATGTAATGGAAAATAATAAATAAAGGGATAGTTTCTAAAGAAACTGTGGTGCTGCGTCGGTGGGAGAGTATAGCAGGTAATTTAGTGTTAACAACTGGGTTGAAAACATAAATTAGCCACCGTAAAGGGTAAAAAAAGCTGACGTTTCGAGCATTAGCCCTTCATAAAAATTTTTAGCATACATGACAACAATTTTTGAAGGATACTATCGCTCTGACGAAGGGCTAACGCTCGAAACGTCAGCTTTTTTTACCCTTTATGGTGGCTAATTTACGTTTTCAACCCAGTTATTAACACTAAATTACCTGGAAAATAATAAAGCTCAGCAACCTAGCTATGCATAAACAGCATTAAGTATTTAACTCAAATGTTAGAGAGCTTCTCCTCTTTTCAGTCCTCAGTTCACATTGTTGACTCACTGAGTTTCTTTTAAAACAATTTTCCATTGAGTATATCAAAAAAGCAGAGGGTGCAATTTGAGATTGCTGTGGTTTTAGCTATTCCCCACACAAATCAGATAAAACACTAAATACAATTACACCTTGGTCATTTGCATTTTCCAGCACTTCAAGCAGTTTGCTTGTTTCAAATTTGAGTTCTCATTGGCTAATCATAATGTTAACCTTTGTTCTGATTGGTTACTGGGATAACTTAGATTTTGGGTTTTAGATACTCAAACAAACACTGCCCTTACTAATGAATTACTAAGCATCAACTGTTTGCCCAAAGCTACTTACTTTTTGAATAGAATTCTGGGATATCATTAGTATACTACCACCAGGTTAGAGAGATTTTTTTAGTGACATAGTGGCATCTGTAGTAAAATTTTTAGCATACATGACAACAATTTTTGAAGGATTGCATGTAGGTTACTCTTTGGAATTTCAAAACCCTGGGCTCCACTTGCTCCACCCTACAAGTGTTCACTTGGTAGTGTATCATAATTATGGTTTCAGGGGATCTGGTAAGCACTGAGGGATAGTATAAAAAGGACACAAAGCTAGCTTTCACATGCAACACACCAGGAATAAAACAGACATGGCAACAGCAATGAATTTCTACCCACTACACACTCTGGAAAAGTCCACTCTTCATTTCATTCCCACTCTACATTCACAGTTGCATTTTTTTCATTTTTTAATCGTTTTTTTCTTTTCTATCACAGCAATACACCAATCACATATACTCTACTTACTTGAGTAAGTGTCCACAGTCTGGTAAGCACCCTCCCCTCTCAATCAAGAGTCCCCCTTCCCTCCCCTTTCTCTACATGTATTGTACAAAAATATTAAGTCTGATATCAATCAAACAGGAATTCCCATACCAGGGCATGAAATTGCACCTAATACAGGTGCCAATGCGACTAAATTTTTCACTTTGACAACCAAATCCTGAAAATTAGTCGCCAAATTGGCGACTAGAATGTTTCATCATAACCTTACCTAGAAATATAGTGAATTAAAAAGATTTGCAGAGATAAATCTGCGGCAAACTTCCTTGTCAAGTTTGTTTCCAAAACAAAGCACATGCATCTCAATCAATAACTAGACGCCATCTTGGATTTAGGTGAGCTTGAACGCTGCATATCATCCATTCTAGTGTCCACTTTCTAGCATGTTAAAGATATTTTCCCTTACTTAATGTCTAGAACGATGACAGTGTAAAAAAAGGTTTTGAATTGTCTTTGAAAATGGCGACCAACTTTTTTTGAATTGGCTACCACTTTGAAGAATTCAGGAGCCAAGTGGCTATTGGAAAAAAAATTAACTTCATGCCCTGCATACAGCCGTGCATGGACTTTTTCAAAATTACGGGAATGCAAAAAAAGAAAGATAAATATTGTAGCAGGCTGGCAATTTTAGGAAAGCAAGTTTCTAGATAGTGGCTGAAAGTAGTCCCACTCCACTCTCACTCAGAGGAGTTTATATTTATTCCCAAATTTGATGGCATCCAGAATGGCCCAAAGAAAAGAAACTCCATAAACAATAGCACAACCACAATATTTTCTTACTTGGCAATGACAAAAAATTGACTTTTCTGGAGTCCACCTTGGCGTTGGTGGTCATGCCTGTTTCCAGCAAAATTATTTCCCTGCAAAAAAGTTAGTCACAAATTAATGACAGCACTGCTTGATAAACTGTATGAAGAAAATTTTTCTAGCTTAGCAAGGTAATGCACTTGACCATACACTTTTATTGGAGTTTCACAAGTATATATATATATATATATATATACATGTATGAACCAAACCAAAAAATTTGATTTGATGTAGGCCTGACAACATTTTTTTGGTCAAAGAAATGATATTGTAACAGCTTTTATTGCTCCAGGCAGTGTGCCTCAAGGCCATACAGTTAACCCTTTAACTCCCAAAAGTGATCAACATGTGACTTCTCCTTATAATATCCATTCACTATCCAGCAAACTGGTAATGAGAATACTCAAAATTATTGCATGCAATTTGTTATCTTGATTTAACAGCAAATTCTTGTCATTAATTTTCAAGGAAAATTTAATGTGTAGCAGCTAGTGAAGAGAATTAACAATCAGATCTGAAAGGTTAGGGTTGAGTTTTCTTATCATTGAGCCACTGGCCTTAGAGCATGCTGCAGAGCATTAGTGAGGATGGTCAAAACTCCTGTGGGCAAATGGGCCATAGGCATGCTTTTGACATAACCCAAGATGGAGCTGAGAATTTTATAAGTACGTTTGCTCTGGGAAGTGAATGCAGTGTTTTAAATTGCAATTTTAAATTGGAAGTGAATGCAATGTTTTAAATTACATTTCAACACGTGTATCGTTGGCCTCGCCCTACAAGATGTTGACAGTGTATAATATTTAGATTGCTTTCTTTTTTCAATAACCAACTACTGTAGGCTAAAACTGTAAGCTGTAAGTGGTAATCACCTTTGAGTAAAAGTAGAACTGAAATTACTTGAAATTAAGCCATGGCCGACTGACAAGACAACTCGTTCCCCTCAAAACTCCCAATCGCTGAACGTTTAACGAAATGATAATACCTTATTCCTGAAGAATTCATGGCTCTTACAAAATGATTTTACGGACCAGTTTAAGGATTTTGAAGGGACTACCAACATCCGGCTTATCAGTCGAGTACTTCCCAGACACTTTTCCAAATACCGGCAAATATAAAGACTTTACCTGTCTAGATTGAAGTGATTTTACGGCGGAGATAAACTCCGAGGTTCTGTCTCTACATGTTGTCATATCCACAGTTATCGAACTGAAGTTGTTTTCGCTTGAAAATTCCACTCGAGTTTGATCGTTGTCTTCACCGCTCGATCGTGTTCGGCGGCGTCTAGTGATCATGGGTAAATTACATCGGCGAAAATTTATCCCTCATTCCTTCCCTAAATAGTTCCTAAGCTTCTGATAGTACTAGTGAGTCGTTTTAGACAAATCAAGGAAGGTAAAGGTAAGGAAAATTTGCGAGAAATATGTTTCGACACTTGAAAAAAGAAAACGAAGCAAATGGTGACGTAGAGGTTAAGGATTACCGCTGCTCGTCAACATTGCGGGCGCTAGGTCGAAGTGCAAAGAAACATGAATTTGGACCAAAATCATTCGTTTTCGATTAAAAAGACGAGCATCGTGTGATTTCGGTGAAAGGCAGAGGCAAAATTATGATTGATTTAAGCCATACCAGTCCATTTCCACCTCTGTTTGTCGCACAAGCCGGTCAACTTGAAATGTGATGGGGTTAAAGCCAAAGAACTTCATAGAAACAGCGCGTTCAGTTTACACTGAATATTCACCTGAGTCAAGTTACGAGGAGATGATGGCACGGCAAACTTCATTTCCGGCTAACTCTACTACTCCAGCTACACTTGGGCCTGGGATTTCAAGGCCAGCATATCTTGCTCTGACAATTGTTTTTACGACGCTTTACGCTTTGTTATTTTTTATGATAGTGGTGCAACTCTGCCTGATCTTATACCACAAACATCGCCGTTTATCGTATCAAAGTGTGTTCTTGTTCATCTACCTGCTTTGGGCTGCGTTGAGAACTACGCTGTTTTCATTTTACTTCAAAAATAGTGCACAAACAAAGACATTTGATCGTTTTATACGGTGGCTCCTGTACGCATTTCCAATCTACTTACAGTTTCTTACCCTATCTCTGCTGACATTGTATTTGGCAAAGGTAAGCTACTTAGATAAAAGACGTATACAACAGCAACTAAACTTTCCTATCACTCATTGACTTTTCATCTTCTAGATTACAAAGTTTACGTATTTTTAGATTCTTATGTAATTTCTACGCAGTTTTAGTTGTAAAAACTCAATTCTTTAAAAGGACAAAACTTAATTGCTATGCCTACGGCACACTTCCGCCTTGTTCCGGTCACTTAAAATAAGACGTCAAAAATTAGTACCACGTACAAGGTAGGTCCAACATATCTGTGTTAAAGCGAAGATAGCATCCTTGCAGTGAGCTGCAGCTAAAACAGTTGCAGAAAAGAGTTCTGAAAAACCCGATGGCAGTAGTTGGGTGCTTCACGCTACCAGTTGAGCTTTGAGGCCACATGTGTGTGGGGTTTCCGGAGTGAGGCACTGCCCACTACATCGAATTAACAACTCATGAACTGAGGCAAATTACTGTTAGAGACTTAACCATGCTGGAAACTATATGTCCAGAGTATTGCATGTGTGTTAAGCGACCCTTTGTCCAAATTTAGTGATTTTAAGTGTTACTGAATCAATAATCTTCCGGTTTAGATGTAGGTGTTCACTTTTGAAGAGAAAATGAATGTAATGTTTGGGAAATTTCAGTTTATGAAACTCATATTAATTAATTGATTACCAAAATTATCTTTCCTTAAAAAATTAGTTTTCTAATTTGGTAAGGACATCAGTGATAGACTCAGATGCACTTTTTGTGCTAATTTCTTTGTTCTTGCTACATTTTGAAGTCATCTGTGATCTGTTAGGGCACAGATGCATGACAACAAGGAATATACTTGTTAAATATTTAGTTAGTAGAATAATAAGTCAGATTGCAGTATTTTTGTAAGAACCTTACTAGATTTATGCCCATGTGTTGACTGAAGAATGTCTCTTCAACTATTTTATTATAAGATACAACTATTAGTTCCCCCATTGTTTACATTGGGACTCTCAGAGGATGATGCATGTAAAAATGAAATGTTATTGCGTATAGCTCCGTTACCTATCAGGACCAGTATAATTAATCTTTAACCCTTTAACTCCCATGAGTGACCAAGACAGAATTTCTCTTTAGTTTATCTATACAATATCATGCAGACAAATAAAGGGAACAAAGAAAAAATATCAGTTATGGGAGTACTAATTGATCCAATAGAAAATTCTCCAAACTAACATAATGAGAATCATTTGGCAGACAGTGAGGAGAATTACTAATGAGATCTTGGGAGTTAAAGGGTTAAAATTGTTATTTTCTATGACTCAGAATATATGAAAATCATATATGTAATTTGTGGATTAAGAAATGAATAATGGAATCAATGTTCACAGTAATAAACAGTACTAATATGCAGTATAGTGAAACAGGGCCTGAAAAAATTCAGGCTTGTATGGGATTTGAAATAATAACCTCTGCAATAACTGTGCAGTGCTCAACCAATTGAGCTAACAAGCCATTACTTGGAGCCGGTCATTATGTTGATTTGTAACTGGATTTGAAGCCATAACCTGTGCGATACTGGTTCAATCCTGTTCAGGGCCTTAATTTTTTTTCAGGCTTTATTTTCGCTACTGCTTAAGTAGTGTTCATTGCTACAAAGATCAATTTCATAATTAATGAATTTGTTCTTTTCTCTTTAGGTTGTCTTAAGGACCAGAAGAAGCACTCTTGAGCCTTTAACATTCAGGTAAATAGATAGGCCTTAGAGATTGGCTTCGTTACTTGTGCAGTGCCTCTTATGGTTATAACTGTCAGAGTAGATAATTATGTAGATGTTAGTATCGATAATCTAATAGATATTTTTTTCCAACACAAGTTGGCACTTTCCAGCTTTGTTTGTATCTGGAAACATTCAGGGTAGCATACTATATATGCACCAATAATCCCTCTTTCTGTTAAGCCCTCTTCTTTGAAAAGCCTCTTCCCCTTCCCCTCTGTCTGGAACCTCAAGTTTTGAAGAAGCTCTCCCCCATCTCCCTTCTGAGTACCCATGTGAAGAATTGAATGAAAAAATGATACAGTCTACTCCTGTCATTGTGGACATCCTCAGGGGGAGATTTACAGTCTGTAATAGCAAGAGTCCATAATGGCAGGGTACCATGAAAAAATTGCTTAGTCTCTAAACATATGAAATGATATGTAGATGAATTGTTTCTTTATTTACCTTTATTGTAATGTCACTTTATATTATGAGTCAGGCTTTTGGACAAAGTGCTTATAAGTGTTCGCTTTAGTGAGAGAAAAAAGAAATAAAATGTTGCAATAGGGGGCATGAAAGTGTGCATATTTTCATAATAGTTGGAGGCGATTATAATAATTTCTTCATGTGTAGTGGGGTATAGGAATAAGAATTCCAAAATTCTGAGGTTTGCTTCCTCATGGGGAACTCAGACTCAGAATATTTTGCTCTTTACTTTTATTTTTCCATTCCATAATGATATGTGGCTCAGCAAAATACCTGGCAACTTGCAATTCTGGGGAATAAACATTGGCCTGATATCTATACAAAGAAAAAGTATGAAGGGCCAATATTCCCTAGTGTAGCTCAAGCCAAGTTAAAAAGTAGTTTATTGTATGGCACACGGACTAAACTTGGTTATTTTGAATTTGCTAGCTTTAATGATTGAAAGCACATTGCTTATGACCATTTCCATGGAAATGGTCTGTATGGCAAAATCCCAGCCTAGTAAGAACCAATCAGAACACTTGCATTTACCTCAAGACTTCCTTGCCATAGAATAGCATAATATTATTTCAAACCATCCAATAGGAGAATTACCTGTATGCACTAAGATTTACAGACAATTCTAAAGATAAGTATGGTATTCATTTTTTTGCTGTTTTTGCCAACAGGAAATACAACAGACTGTATCTTCCTAGTTCATTTGCCACAGTGAATATGGTTTTCTTTGCTCTTAACATTACAAGCTCTTTTGTGTGTCATAAACAAGATGCTCATGACACACTTGTCATATTGAGGGTCATTGTAAATGGACTGCTGTTTGTTGTTGTTGGTGTTGTTCTCTGTTTCTGCATTATTAAGGTATGTTTACCTTCTCATCGTTTGCAGTTGTATTGATTTCTTAGTAAATAATTTAATGGTCAAAGTCCTACAGTTTTTCCAGTCCAGTGAGGTGTTACAGAAGTTTGCCCCTTGTATTTTTACTTTGAAATGATGTTGTTGTCATGTTAAACTGTCTCCATTCCAGTAGCCATGCATAATTTGACTTTTTTTGGTGGCTTTCATGTTTGATGGTAGGTGACACGTGGCTCTTGAGATTTTGTGACAACACTGTTATTTTAGTGTCAAAGCCCTGTCACCAAACTTTTACAGTGCCCCGCTCAACTGATAATTGTTAAAAGCTACTATTGGAAATTCTGCACAAAAATTGGTAGGCATTACTTGAATGAGTGATTGACTTACTGCATGCCAGCCTCCTGCCTACTTGTCTGACTGACCTACTGATTCATTGGATCAATTGCCAGCTTTCTTATTTTTTTTTCTTTTCACAGATTACAAGAGCACCAGCTGTCAATGTTTTACTGGAGGGTCAGGTACTTTGTGCAAGTATTAATATTTAATGATGATTACATTAGTTTTGTTTCTCCCATTTTTATGTATTTGTTACTAAATATCAGTTCATTGCAGGGAGCAACAACCAGGCAAGGCATACTACTGTGTGTGCTGGTAGTCCTGCTCTATTTGTCTAGAGTAGTTTACAACCTAATTGCAGTCGCTGTACCTCATGATTTGTCTTCATTTGGCTATGGCTGGATTAATGTTTCTGATGAGGTACGTAGAGTTATGAAATGAATTATGAAGTCAAATTTCTAATTTAAAAGAAACTCTGGTGTTGCATTGGCATGGTTATTACAAATTGATTCGGTTTTTATGAAGTGAGCTTGTTGATGATGTGAATTGGCCATCGTTAAGAGTTTCTAAAGCTGACATTTTAAGTGGTATCCCTTTGTCAGAGTGTAAAAACTCTTTACTGTGGACATTGTGCATCATGATAAACCTGAAATCATCTATACATGTTTCAAGTTTGGTTGATGGTTATGATGCCGTTGCTGTCGATTGTTACATTAAGGTTCTTACATTATACCCTACTAAAGCAATACCAACTCAAATTATTATTCGATTATTATAACCCCTTAACCCTTTTTAACTCCCAAAGTCTGATTGTTAATTCTCTCCTGTAGCTGCTACACATTTCCTTGTAAATTAGTTATGAGAACTTGGTGCTAGATCAAGATAGCAGCTTTACCTGATAAGTTTGAATATTCTAATAACCTGATTGCTGAATAATGTATGGATATTGTAGGGAGAAGTTTTATGTTAATCACTTCTGGGAGTTAAAGGGTTAACTGCCAACCCCACTGAGAAAACCTGTGCCAATGCAAATCGACGCATGTATTTTTCAGAATTGTAACTTGATTTTACTCTGTTACTTTCACCATACTAGTGCATCATGTAGGTAATCAATAAGAAAAGATTTGTCTTCTTCTTCTCTTTCATTTGTGTCTTTTGATTTTTTTTTTTGTTAACCTACCTCTTATTTTAATCTGTAACTATTCAGATAATCAACATTCAATCAAGTTTTGCAAGTATGCCCAGCAATTTTTTAAACACATTCATAATAGTGAGCTTGATGTTAATAATGTGACAGTAATGTAGAATTCTTTTGATTGATTTTAACATTTCATTGTAAGCAGCTCATTGTAAGTCATGTCTTGTAAGTGATGTATTATTTGTTATGTGTTTTAATAGAGTTTATGTATTGTATGCAATATGTGTCGTGAATAAAGATTTTAAAATCTTTTGAATAATTGGGTCAAAGCTTTGCACTGAATTCTTTAACTCCCAGATCAAATCTGTAATTCTCCTTACTGTCAACCATACAATTCTTGTAATGTTAGCTCAGAGAATGTAGTATTAGATAAACTAATTATCCCCAAATTGATATTTGTCTTTATTCTCATCACTTCTCTGGTTGATATTGTATTGATATTGTAAGGAGAAATTCTGTCTTGGTCACTCATGGGAGTCAAAGGGTTTAAGTCTCTCTATTTTTAACTAAACGGAATATAAAGTTTATACTAGCAGTATTTTAAACTTTTTAAACCCTAAGAGTAACCAACATCTAATTTCTCCTTAGAGCAATCAGTCATTTATTAAGATCATGAGAACAAAGGGAACGATTTCCAACCTAAGAAGTTCGTGATCGTTAAGCAAGTTCTCCTTGTCAGCACCAAAGGAAATGTGAAGAGAAGAATAAGGGGAAGCTAGATACTGTACTGATGTTAGGGTGTAACGAGTTAAATAAATAAATTCTACTTCACGTTTTAACCAACTTTCTAACTGATTCCTGGTATATTCTAGGGTGAAATTAACTACAGAGATTCTTCATGTGATAGTTGCAACAAAGTTCATGACGTGATGCGTGATGCGGAGTTTATAACGTTTGGTGTTGTCTTAATTGTATGGGAGGTGTTACCAACCTTCATGGTTATATTATTTTTTCGAGTCAGGAGACCGAATATTGGAGACATGGTTTGTAAAACTAAACATATGTTTTTGTGCTTGTTACTAGTCTGCATTCATGCATGTAGAGAAAGTTTTCTAGCAACTTATGGGAAATGTTTATGATAACCGGTCACTTCGCCAACATGTCAATATGGCATTACTAGTAACTTCACTAGGTATGTAAGGTAATTTTGGTTTTATCAACTGAATCGTTGATGTAAATTTGCCATTTTAAAGGGTTTCAAAGCTGTCGTTTGGAGCGTTAGCCTTTCATCTTTCGCTCTAACGAAGGACTAACACTCGAAACGTCAGCTTTGAAACTCTTCACGGTGGTCAATTTATATTATCAACTCAGTTGATAAAACCAAACTTATCTTGCTATACTCCTCCAACGACGAAGCACTACAGTTTCTTTAGAAACTTACCCCCTTTATTAATACGCTAAGTATGTAGGCTACTTGACGATATGCCGGCGAGTTGACTAATGGTGTCGGCGAGGTGGTTGTTGGTGAGTTGACATGTCGGCGAAGTGGCTGGGCACTATCCACGGTTATCGTACGCATTGAAACTACGAGGTTAGGGAAGGGCCCCCTTTCTTCAGTCCTCTCCGATTGAATATTTTTTGTGTGTTAATAAACAGGAAGAATAAAAATCTATGCCAAAATAATCGGCCAAAAAGTCCTTTAAAGGGTTACGAGATAACTAGCTTGCACCCACAATATCTTTAAATTCGACGCTTATTACACGACCGCCAATTACACGACATAGTCGTAAGTGTCATTTAGTCGCTAGCTTACAAATTTGTAAATGATTGTGCGTCACCCTAGTTCATTGCTTGTCATGCCGGTTCATTGTGTGTGATGGCAGTTCATGACCCGTCACACCTCTACGATCCTCTCAACAGTATGAATCATCCGTGTTTTCCATAAATATCTTTTACATATCTCCCCTTAAATTTCACCAGGGACCATCAGGTATAGCCTCACAGAGTGGTGACAAAAAGTCATATTTCTTTGACAATCCTCGAAGGTATGACTCGGACGAGGACCTGACAGAGTCACAAGGACAAGCCAGAGGGTAGGTTGATTAAATGAACTTTGTTCTTTTGTATCATGCAACCGGGTGGGAAATGACTGCTCCATTACTGAGCCTGCTTCCATTCTGATGGAGAGGTATTAGCTCCAGTTCAGACTGGGTCAATGTACCTCGCATTACCCAAGAGTTTGACCGTTTAATAAGCAAGTAATTTCTCTTTACATTTTCACCCTTGAATGTAACATTAAAGTCACGGGAATGATTGGAATGATCACTAACTCAAGATGCTGATTCTTGAACAAATTATCTTTGTCAGCACCTTAAGAACTGCAAAGATCATAGTATGAAGAAAATGCAGGTTAATATCGGTATCCAGTCCTTCCGTACCCACGGTCGTTTCGTACTCAATGAGTCTCCTATACAGTTTTCTGATAATGCCAGACGCTAGGCTGGTAGACTTGCGTGTGGACGAAAATTAATTTACAGCATTTCGAGTGTGTAGATCTCAACAGTATTTACCTACTACCAAAATATTCGTGCGCCCCCATGCAGAGTTGTGTCAACGCATATTAATTCGGTATGTTTTTCTATTACAGTAGTCAGTACAACATACCAGGCGTACTTAGTCCCTCCGCTTCCAGTGGGAGCGTAAACAGACCACGGTCATCATATGGCTCCATATCAGCCGCGCGCAGTGGAAGTTTCCAGAGAAGTAACAGTTATTCTAAAGTTTATCTCCCGAGTACCACTCCTCCTACTCTCCCTACTTGGTCTGAAAACCAAGCAGGCTGGTCTGGTTACCAAGCTGACGGGTCTGGATTCAAGGCGGACGTTTTAGTTAAGCAAAACGAAGCATAGTGATTCATGGGCAACGAGTAAAGTTAGGGTCGATGACCTCAAAAGAATGAAGCAAACTTTGTTACATGGATGATCAAACGAAACGCTGGTAGAGGCTAGACCGTAATTCTTTGTCAGCACAGAGGGCTACGTACAAGACCTCTTGCCTCTTTACCAGTTATACAGGGTTTCACCCAGACATTAAAAATCTTACCTTCAGAAGTCCTTAATAGCCCTTTAAGCCGTTACAATAGCTAGCTTCTAATTTCTCCATAGAGTAGCACTGTTGAATCAATCAGATGCGTCAAGAGGCCAAAAGAAGCAGTAGATTATCAAACAAACGTCCTGGACAGTACCATAGGAAATGTATACAAAAAGAAGCATGAAGAATATACACACTGTCGTTAGGGTGTAAATGGTTATTAAGCGTACGGTGCACTGAAGGAGAATACCCCAGGTGCGCTATTACATCATCCAGTCAACTGGAAAGCCATAATTTTTACTTTTCAAATTAAACGGTCCAGACAAAAGATCTGGGAATTGCCAAGGAAGAGATATCTCATTAGTTCACTAGAAGCCAAGAAAGTGTAATGTACAGTTTCGTCGTTCCATGTGGCTGCAGTGCCATTCAGTTGGATATACTTATCGCAGACGTTGTCACGTAGACGTATTATTGTAGGATTTTCTAGGTTTTTTGTCGTTTTTATATCATTTTTCTCTTTGTTTACTTGTATGTTTTTTTTTTCGACTTCTTTGGCCTCGGGTCTAACTAACTTCAACATAAAATGTTGCCACAACTGCTGTAGTTGTCTTGGGCCGATTTGTAACTAACTGTTCTCGATCAAATTTAGTAAGTTAATGTCAAATTTTTTATAATTCTATGTAATGTAAACTTCCCTTGATCTACTGTGTCAGAAAAGAAATGTTTATTCTTACATAGTCATATATATTATTTTTCTTTTAATAGTTGAAAGGAAGACCATTTTGCCAAATTTAGAAATAAATTTAACCACACGGTACATAGTACCTTCATTTTGTTCGTGACTTTTTGCTGTACTAGTCATGCTAAAGTATACGAAACTTTATTTAACACCATGTATACGAAACTTTATTGAACAACATGCCTTTTTTTTTTCTTTTTTTTTTTTTTACTTTTTGTTCATTCCAAATAATCTAGCAGCGGAAAAATTTCGGAATATCTTATATTGAGTTTGTGCTGTATTGGTCAAAGTTATGGTGTTTGTATGAAAAATGGCGGAGTTCAGGCAAAGACCAGGCTTAGCGACTGCTTGGTCACGAGAGGACCTCCTTGTTTAATATCATTATTTTCTTCTTCCTCTTTTCGTTTGAATTGTACTTCTTGTGTAAATTATTCTTATGTTCTCCAAAAAGCTCTAGGCAACTAGATCCCTTCAGACTGATCCAGCAAATAGAGGAGCTGGTCAAGCCGTTTGGCTTGGCGTATCAGTTCTTTTGTAATCCTTTCGCCCGCAGTTCCTCTTAGCTTTTTTGCTTTTTCTTTTAACTTCAATATCTCACTCAATCTGTCAAAATCGACGGTACTTGCAACGTGTTTGGGATTACTTGACATTTTGCTCTGGAACTCAGAAATGTTCCTTGAGGTGTTGGATGATGGGTCGATCCTTTTGAGCCATTTACTAACATCATCGAAATTGATGATTTTATCCTTAGGTTTTTCGTATACTTCCTGCGATATGTCGCAAGAATGTGTTAGAGTAACGTGGATTTCGTCTGTTGCGTTAATTAGCACTCTCTTGGTTGAATTTACAGTTGCTTTGCTTGTGCTCCCTTTTTCCCGCTCTTGTTTATTTGAAAGACTACGAGAGTAGATTGAAGAAGCGATGAAATCGTTCGACGAAGCACTCACTTTCCTGATCTGAACATTGTCGGCAAAGTGTACTGTGCGTCTGACCGAGAAATGTAACTCATCGTCGTTACCTGATAAATTACCTGATGATGTGGGAATGAGCGATTCCAGGTTTGTTGATATGGGTTCTTTTCTATATGTCAAAGGCGAACAAACGAATTCCTCTTTCTTCTCTTTGTTTTCCTGTGAAGAAACCTTTGAAACTGGAGATGCATTAGCTGTTAGAAGCGCGGGTTGTCGTTGTTTCAAAGTTTTAGCTTGTGTGCTCGTATCAAAATCGGTCAAACTCGCGTTTCTTTCTTTTGAAGCTTCAGTCTTCTCCTTCTGGCTCGGAGAGGAGTTTGTATCAGAAATCGACATTTGTCTCGTTTGCTTTTTCTCTCTGACGTCTTCTCCTACTTTCGTTTTAGGAGAAACCTCCTGCGGCCCTTTTGTTATGCCAAACATTTTTAAAAACTTTGATAACAAACGACTCGCTACCTCCATATCCTCATTGCCCTTGTTAGCGCTGGTTGACTCAGAATGAACGTCGTTTAAGATTGCAACGAAAAAGTTTATGAGCAGCACCACCGTAAAGAAAAGAAAACTTTCTATGTAAAGTCTGGCAAAGTCTGAATGTACATCTACGAGTTCTCTACGCGGAGCGGAGGCCCCGAGAGCCATGAGAAGTTGTTGCACAATAACTCGTTTGAAAGAAGAAAACATGTAGATGCTTTTACCAAAGAGGAGCGACCCGGCATGCGCAAATGCAGTGAAGACAATGCAGAACACTACTGCATAGCTCAAGATTGGTTTAACGGATTTTTTTAAAGAAAGAAAAAGTATTATGATTTGTCTGTTAAATTTGAGTAATCTTAGTAAACGTAACGTCGCTATGGTTACTGCCATGCAGATCACGTGGTTTTCGATCTGGAACCAGAATAACGCGTCGTGGAAGCTTACGATGGCGAATGGATTTTTACTCAACTTCTCAAGAGCTTGTGTTATATGCTTCTCTTTTTCGATAGAGATGAAAACGGCGCTCACTGCACTGAGAATTTGCAGCATTTCAAGCCAGCTCCAAGGAGATTTCAGGTATGCACATTTCAACCGGTAGGCTCTGATGCATTCAGTCACTGAGTAGTAGCCAAGAAAGAAGGCGAATAGCAACCTTATGATCAAGTAAATTGTGGTGGAATATGAATCTGACATAGCCATTCGAATCACCTCGATCCTCAAAAATGATCCCAGATAGCCCGATGGAATCATCTCAAAATATAACACAACATCTAGAAGCTGGTTTGTGGCTACGTTGAACATGGTAACCTCAATCAAGACAACTCTAGTTTGACGATCAATCCATTCATTCTTTGCAAGGTCCCGCAGAATTCGACGAGCCGTGTAATCAAGGTATCCCAGATTAGCTACATAACCACCACTACCATAGACAGAGTGTACACCATGACTTGAATAGTCACCTACATCATCTTCAGACATGTATTTCCAGTTTTCTGGACACGCAACACTCATCCAAGGGATAGAACTGTTATTTGACATCAAATCCCAACCTTCCTTGTCCTCCTTTTCTTTTGAATAGAAGTCGTAACAAGAGGATACCCAATTCCCCAAAACGCTAGGTACTGAACACGAACCTGAGGAATAGCACAGAGGGAAACCGGGTTTTTCCTTAGAGTCGGGTCCATTTTCTTTTTTTGTGTTGTTTTGTCGGGAAATTTGTTTGTTCTAACGAACAGATCTCTGAATCTCCGAGTAGGTAGGAA